GATATTGCACAAACCGTTGAGTTTAAACGAGCAGCGGACCTACTAAAAACCATTTATTATTTAACGTCCTTAAAAATTATATTTATATTAATGATGCCTCCAAAGTTCAGCGAATTTTTTGCGAAAAAAAATTATTTATCAGGAAGCATGCAAGCGCTGTTCGATGACAAGCTCCACGACGAAAACAAGCTTAAACAATGGTGTAGTTGAACTGTGCATGCTCGGTAAGTAATCCTACAATTTTTTGTTTATAGCATAGTTTATATGGATTATTCTCAAAAAATTATACGTATTTTGGAAATGTTGAGTCAAATTAGTCTAGAATCGATTAATTTTATGGAAGAAACATTTCAAACTGCCGTAGTCTGTAAACTGCATATGTGCCGGGCTGTGATTAGCTGGACTCGTAGAAAATGGATTCATAAAAACTGGAACGTATCTACTGTGTTATAGGGGGGTTGACTGTAAATAGAATCTACAGATTGATAATGTACAAATATATGCATACACTAACACATAAAAATAAAAATACAAATTAATAATAATAAAGAAATAGATGATATAACTGGCTTCTACTAATGTCTGTCCATGCTTTTTTCTTTATGCTGATATATTCATAATGCACCTGCTCTCCATGCTGCGGATACTTTATATGATTCTTTGAAATTTATAGCCTGTCCTGCTAGACTGCTCTTATGAATATGCCAGGTTTCTGCATATTTAATATATCTCCTGTCTTGCATCTGAGAGACTTCTTATTGAGCAAAATCAGAAACACGACAAAACTAAGAAAGCAGATACTGGAACTGACACACCAAGCTACATATTCGTCAGTTTTCAATTTTAATGATGTAACATACACTCAACATAGAGGAGTGGCAATGGAAAGTCCTGTATGTGTGAAATGATACTAAGGACATTAGAGAATACCATCTTAAAGAAATACAAAGGTCATATGCTAATATATGCATGATATGTTGATACAACGTAATTGTATGGAAAGAAAAACCAGACATTCAACAATTTCTCAGAGACATTAACGTTAACAAGTTTGACCTAGACCTCGAGCTAGAACAACAGAACGATAAAAAGATACACTTCCTAGATATATTAATAGAAGCAGAAAGAGGAGGGGAAAGCACTACTAAAGTGTACAGAAAGCACACTTATAATCTGTTATTAATACCATGGACCTCCCACGACCCAGCAAGTTATAAACTGGCAGCATTCAGGGCACTTATAAAAAGAGTGAACATTCATTGCAGCAAAATGCAGGACAGACATAAAGAATTAGAACACATCAAAAAGTTAGCATGGCAGGTCAGAGTCAATCAGAATAAAATAAAGGCCTTAATCAATAAAACAAGAAAAGACAATAATGAAAGTAAAGACCGGGGAAGAGTAAAAGAGTACACAGTACTGGAATAAATGGCACCCTTAACCAACATTTACAAAGAAATAGGAGCAGCTACTTAACAAAAAGATAGTATTTAAAAGGAACTCAACAGTATATCAGATGCTACGTACGGACAAAGATCCTGTAGACCAGAACCTTATTCCTGGAGTTTACAGAATACCCGTGCAAGACGAGAGGCGGCAAAAAGAACTACCACATTGGAGCTACAAGGAGATCATTAAAAGAAAAAATAAAAGAGCACAAAAGGAACATACAGAAGGAGCAACCTGTCATGGCTTTAGCGACATACGTTATAGCAGACCCAACAGAGGTATCAGTGAAATGGGAAAGAGCAGAAATAATACATAAGGTGCAAGACAGGCGACATATTAAATATGCAGAAACCTGGCATATTCATAAGAGCAGTCTAGTAGGACAGGTTATAAACTTCAAAGAATCATATAAAGTATCTATAGTGTGACCGAAGGAGCAGCATTTCTTCGATGCCCCTGTCAGGATGACACCACTGCATCTCGGCGGACACAGAAACTGTTTCGTTTGGGCGTGTGAGCGGTCGCATGTGTGAGTGAACGGATTTGGGATGGAGGGAGAGACAGCGTGCCGGAAGTGACTTACTCAGAGACGATGAAATGTAACAACTGTTTAATTGGTAACTATAGGCCATACAGGATATAAAATATATTGATTTTAAATATGCTAGCTGTTAGAGATCTTTGCTACAATTGATATTAGATATATATATAATAGACATTAAAATGGATCTCTATTTCGGTTACAGTTCTGCGGTTCTCGAGAGAGAGAGTTTACAGAAGTTGCACGTGGCAATAAATACCTTGAGTTTTAATGAGTTGCTAGTAGGTCTCGACAACGAAGTTAGTCCAGTTAGGCAATCAAGTATTTTGGGTCGATGTTAATCCAGAGAATAGGCACTTAAATAAGTCCGATGGTCCAGTGAAAAGCACAACGCATACGGAAAAAGATACGGAACTTGAGACTGATCTCTTCGAGGATGGCGCGACGACTGCGTCACTCTGTTGTTCTGTTTTAATGTTGTACTGTTGAAATTGAGATATTAGGTCGAAAGGTGATGAGAAAGCGTCGTTATTAGGCCTGAGAACTTAACAGATGTTTAGCTCCCAGGTGTAAAAGTTGACAGTTATTTAATGAAATTACAGCTACAATGTGATATTAGGATGTAATGATATAAATATACTGAAAGTCTGGATTCGGATCCTCACAATAGCATGGAGAGCAGGTGCATTATGAACCTATCAGCATAAAGAAAAAAGCATGGACAGACATTAGTAGAAGCCAGTTATATCATCTATTTCTTTATTATTATTAATTTGTATTTTTGTGTGTTAGTGTATGCGTACATTTGTACATTATTAATCTGTGGATTCTATTTATTTATTTTAGGATTTGGGCAATAAGCGCTGAGAAAGCGTTTAAAGTTAAAACATTCTATAATCGATTTTATTTGTCATAAATCAAAAAATTGTTTTTTAGATCCTGATGAAGGTCAAGTAATTTGATCGAAAATGTTAGATTACGTTAATAAAATAGACAGCATTTAAAGGTTAGTAAAGGGTAGTTATATGTAACTATAAATAAATATTCTCATAATGCTATCTCACAGTAATTGTGTGTGTATTGCTAAATATTTAAAAGAATTTCTTTTTAATTTAGTTAACATTGTGGTTCTAAAAAGTAATTTATTCTGTTAGTGATATTTTACATTAGTTGATATGTTGTTATTTATATATAATTAAGGTATGAAACTATCTTAATTATGTATAAATAACAACATAGTCTAATTTTGAATTTATATATTTGAATACAAAATTCAATTAGTGTTTCTTAATTAAATTATTTGAAACTTTGTATTAAGTTAAATTTGCATTATTTGAATATTTTTTAAAATTGGTAAATTAATTATAGTTTAAAGTTTGTAGCATAATTAAATAACGTGTTTTATTTTTATGAAATTTGTTTAGAAATTAAATATTGATTTTATTAAATACATGCAGAGAATTTAATTATAATATATATTGTTACATTTTACATCAGAGCTTTTTTTTTCTTTTTATCCATAAATTTACATGATTATTGTGAGCTCTTATTTGATGATCTTTCAATGTAATACTCAAACTTTTTCAAACCTCTAATTTTGTATACCATTTTTTATTTTATTTTTTAACTTTCTGCCATGTGGGCATTAAGAGGGCTTTTTATTAGCAAGCCTTATATGGGTTTGGCAAGGCCACAATGGGGTGGCTGGGTAGTGAGGGATGGGGCTCAACATATCTGAATGGACTACCACCTGAAAAATTCCTGGGACTTTTTCGACCCATCCATATTAGATCCCAGGTCTCCGGAATGGTAAGTGGTGCCTCCTTGACCTCTTGGCTATCTAACTATCATATATCTTATTTTAGATATGAACATAGTTATTAATAATGTATACATTTCTAATGACATGTTTAACTTTTTTAGCATTGTTTGCATAAATTACACATAGATACCAGTATGTTTAATGTGCTTGTAAGATTTTAATAAACAAAATCTATATCTTTTAGGAAAGTGACTACAGAATCAGCAACGGGTAGCACTGGGAGTAACAGGGTGAGGACAACTTTAACTATTGCCATCGAAAACATTGATTTTGACACTCAGGCATGCGTTCTCAGAGTTAAAGGACGCAATATCGTTGAAAATCAATATGTAAAAGTAAGACAATATTGATTTTTAATATGACTGTTTTTCCTGCAAAACATGAACAAAAAGTTTTGTTTTTACATGTATAGATGGGAGCATATCACACTTTAGATCTGGAACTAAACAGAAAGTTTACTTTGGCCAAATCTTGTTGGGACAGTATAGCTTTAGATAGAATAGGTAAGTTCCTGTTTTATTCTTATTAAGAGACCTAATTTTTACCCCTTGGCTACCAGTGGCAAAAGCAATGCTGGTCCAAGCATGGCTTATGCAATGTCCTTGAAAGAAGTGAGGAACCAACATATATCCCTGGTGTTTCTGTGGCAATGCATCCACAGACCACAAACGCTGGAAAACTATGTCAACAGATGAAATGGACCATGGAAATGAACGAGTTTATCATCCATACTTACTACATTACAAGACTTGAAACAAATGTGACAGTATACAGACACAACTATACCATAGATTCACACAACAATATCCTCATCTCACTGTCACCGAACAGGGTTGTTGCTCAAAAAATAATAATTATACACAACAGCCTTATCCCACAAACAACAGATTGCTGATCAAATAAATCAATAGACAGGAACATTTGACATTAATGAAGATCACGTAACCTGTCAGGATAATCCAGCCATAAGCACTGATAATAGCACACAAAACAACTACCACAGACACTTCCTCATCCACCACTGATAATATAGATATACATTTAGTTAATACACTCTCACTTTTATTTCAGAAAAGTAAATATACAGGTACAGATCCCACACAAAGATCATGAATACCAAAAATCAACATGTCTAAGGTAGGAAAAATACTTACTTATGTAAACACTCACTTATGTAAACACTCACTTATTACCATTTAATTTCTAAGACATTCATACATTAGTTTGTGCTGAAAATACAATCACAGACAAAACACAATTCTATTAAAAGCCTGCCTGGCAAAGAATAGATAGAAGCACAAATAAATGACATTAGACAGCAATTAGGCAGGCTGACACAATACACTAAAAACAACATAATACCCAAATTAAAGAAACAACTCAAAAACAATTTCAAGAAAATCAAAAACACACAAAACATGAACATCACAACCCAAACATTACAGAATACATTGATACACTAAAACAAAAACTCACAGCTAAAGCAAGTAGACTTAAATGATAGAAAACATGTTTGCTATGAAAATAACAAAATAAATTATTCTCAAACAATGAAAAACTCTTTTGCAGACAAATTAGTACCAAAAAAACACTGATACACAGCACAGTGGCACATCAACAGAACAACAACTCACAACTTATTGGTCTTCTCTTTGGTCCAGTGCTGTTACATACAATGCTGATGCAGGCTGGATTGAGGGGGAGGAAAAAAACTTGCACAACATACCAATTATGTCCTGTGCTGAAATAAATGTACACAACGTCCAATATACTGTTAACAGAACACACAGCTGGAAGATGCCTGGTGTAGACAACATTCACAATTTCTGGTACAAAAAGTTTACATCACTGCACCAGGAACTAGCTAAACACCTAACACACATCATCAATCCATAAGAAATGCCAAAATTTCTTACTCAGGGCATCACCTACATGAAACCTAAAAACAACAATACCACAGACCCCACACAATACAGACCAATTACATGTCTTCCAACATTACAAATTATTGACATTCTGTACTGCAAACAAAATGTATGAACATATTGAAGAACACAACATTCTTATGGAACAACAAAAAGGTTGCCTTAGAAATCACGGGGATGCAAAGAACAGTTACTCATAGATTCAGTCATTCTATGGCAAGCACACAAACAACACAGGAACATACACATGCATTACAGAAAAGCATTCAACAGTGTTCCACACAGTTGGCTGCTACGTATTCTACACATCTGCAAAGTACAGTACATCCATCACTCATTGCATTCATCCAAAACACTATGCAGCACTAGAGAACGACACTGTATCTCAGGATTCATAACACTTCCATACAAATCAATCAAATATTCATTAGGTGAGGAATTTTTGAAGATTTCTTGAGTCATCTCTGGTTCTGTTTAGCCCTGAAACCATTATCTAACATGTTAAACAATGTGCAACATGATTACAATATCAGACAAAAAAACAACAGAGTTTACATTGTCACATCTCATGTACGTAGACAACATAAAACTTTATGCATCCACACAAAAACAACTTTATCAACTCCCACAAATCACACATTCATACACCAAGGACATACAAATGGAGTTTGGCCTAGACAAATGAAAAACACTTCACATAAAGAGTCCCAAAGAATGGAGATTTTGCACTTGGAGATGTTATTGAATCCATTGAAGAGGGTGAGTTCTACAAGTATTTAGGATTCCAATAGGCCAAACTGACAGAACATACACAAATAAAGCAAAGAGTTAATTAAAGAATACCAAAGTAGGTTAAACACTATTCTCAGAACATAGTTAAAGCAATAAACACATATGTTGTCCCAGTACTTACTTTTTCTTTTGAAGTTATACTGATCTTGAGCAACTCCAAAGGAAAACAAGGATAACACTTACTAAGCATAAACATCATGATTCTAAATCTGCCATAGAAAGATTAACCCTTCCACATAAAAATGGTGGATGTGGCCTGATTGACATAGTAAGCCTTCACTACAAACGATACTGAGGGAGTTTCTTGTTTTTCTGCAAAAAACAAGAAAAATCCCAGTTACATAAAGCAGTAACACTAGCAGACTCAAATAACACACTGTTATCCTGTCCCGTGTTATTCCCAACATCTCAGATTGCAACCTGCTGACTTTGACCGGTTGACCCAAGATATCTTGTTTCATCATTGGAATGTTTTTGAAACTAGATGTTGCTAGTTGTTATAATCTTTATATTGAAACTAACTTCTTGAATATAATTTTTTTGATTTTACATTTATTAATATATTTATTTTGTTTATCCAAAAAAAATAATTTCAGATGATACAATAGCCATGATTATTTTTCTCAAAAATGTGTAATTTTTGTTAGGCTTAACATTGACAAAAATTCAATATGGCACGACACATAACAGAGAAAAATTTCAACATCAAATATGTTAAACTTACACTCACAACATATGGACAGGACACAATATATAAAAGAATAGACACCATTAAGCAATTGTGTGCTCGAAAGGCACTCCATGGCAGACATCCCTATGACCTGGCCTAGGATTTGTTGACAAAACTTCATCAAACAGCCGGTTAGCTTGGGAATGCTTGTTTGGGGAGACAGAAGGGTTTATGATTGCCATATAGAATCAGGTCATAAATAATAAAAAATTACAGAAAACACATACTCAAAGATACGACACTCACAAATGATACATTATGCTAGAAACTATACAACACATCACTTCTGGTTGCAAGCTCTTGGCACAGACAGATTATTTACATAGACATAATCAAGTAGCAAATATAATACAAAGAAACACAAATTATTAGACATCCACAAACCATACAAATACATTCCACAGAGAGGATTGGAAAATAACATGCACAAAATATTACTACAACAGAGCCATAATCACAGATAAAACAATTTATCACAACAGACCAGACATCACACTCATTGACAAACACAATAAAATCACATATATTATAGACATAGCCATTCCAAACACTCACAATGTACAAAACACATGTACTGAAAAAATCAGCAAGCACACAGAATTCATCCAAGAAATAAGGCATCAGTGGAGGATGAATAGGGTGCTTATTTACAGTACCTGTCATTCTCTCCTCTACAGATGTCATACCACACACACTACACAAAAGCCTGGAAACATTACAGTTGAATAGAAACACACATCACACTACAGAAAGCCACTATATTGAATACATGTCATATTGTTAAGAAATTCCTGAATACAGACACATACACTGACACTTATTTAATTTTTGTCTTGTTTTGGTTGCTATGTCTTGACTGGTCCAGCAAAGTATACAGCAACCAGTGTCAACTGAGTATAACCCACTAAACCCAACACAATAATAATATCTGGTGAGAACCTCACGGATCACCAGATAGGTTTTGTAAAAAGTAAAACAGAATTTCACAAAATGTAACCAAAATTATTGTTAATGTGGCCCAAAAAGTAGTAAGTCACCCAAAAGTAGCAGCCTAGAGTCCTACAAATACCTCAATCTGCTGCTTGTAGCCCAATCTCACAATCCCAAAACCCAGCCATGTTTTATGAAATAAGAGAAAAAAGGAGTAATCCATATGTAAGGTTACACCCTAAAATGTGTTGCTATAAAAGCAAAGTCATACTTGACCCAATTAGTGTTATTCTTGGTCTATTGTTCTCATAGCATGGAGGCACTTTAATGTAAATAAATGAATTAACATATGCATATCACAGTTCGGACAGAATTTTCACTTCAAATTACGAATTAGCATATTTCGAACTAACCAAATTTCTTTACATGTAAATCTTCATATCTCCAGTTAGGACAAAGTACAAACTAATGGGATTTTGAACTATCTGAGTTCAAATTAACAAGGATTTCCTGTATTTACTTAATGCGTTCTTATCTAAAAATGTTTATTCATTGTATTCTCTGATTAAAAAATTTCTTATGTAAATAATTTTGAAACTAGAATTCATTTTGAAACTTTTACTAATGAGGCATTAAAAGTTTGAAGAATTGTAAATTCTGCCTGTTTTTTTTTTAATCAGATATGGCATGTGATCCTGCACAACATGCCGATCTTGCTGCAGTTATCATGCACGAAGGTCTAGCTCACATCTGTCTCGTCACTTCGAGCATGACTCTGATACGAGCAAAAATTGATGTTAACATTCCAAGAAAAAGAAAAGGACAATGTGCACAACATGATAAGGTAAATGTATTATATATTTTTAATTGATTTAATTATTAATGAAACAACATAATACATATGAAAGAAGTTATTTGTATATACAGTGTATTTAGTGTTTTTTTTAATGTGTTTATTTAAAGTGAATTTACCTGCAATTAGAAAATTCTTTAGTGACAGAGATTACAAGTAATTTGTTTACTAGAAGGCCAGATTTGCCTTCTGCTAATTCTCCATCTCTGCTAGAGTGTTTGAGGAATTTGGAGAAATAGTTTTTCTATAATAGTTTGTGTTTGACGTTTCTTTCTTTTACTATCAATTTGTACTTCTTAAACCATACAATTTGATAAAATTAGGACTTATCATACATGAAAATATCTGAAAGAAAATAGCAAAATCAAGCATAAGGAACTGTCATTTTGCAGAATGAATTTTGAGTCTAGACCTCTCTTTGGCTGCTGACAACACTTTTAAAGGACTGGCTCTGAGTAAAGTCAAAAGGAATGTAAAAAATTTGTTGGATGCTAATTATTGAAAGCGTAACATAGAGTTGTCATATGCTCAGCATTAAAAGTATGGTTATAAAATAAAAGGACATATTGATAAGATTATTAAATCTGTAGCTAATTGCAGAATTCTTTGATGCTTTTGCAAAACTGTTTTTTCAAAAGCAGTATTACAATCCATTTATTTCACCAATATTCAGTTTCTACTCAATTATTGTTTGCCAATATGGCTAAGGCTGTCTCATCCCATTTAAAAAAATATTAAGAGAATTATAAAAAAATTTTTCTTATTTTAAATAAACTTTCCAACTTTCCTTTTACTCCTAATGCTAATGTAGCTAGGTTCAGATTGGGAATTCCCAGTTTTAATAATAATTAATAAGAAAGTAAGTTTATTGTTTAACATTTTTAAAAATAATTTTACATTATTTTATACCACCAGTTTTAAATTTTCACATAAACATTAATTTTTAATCTAGGCAGTAGTTTATATAAGTAATAAATTATTTATTTTAATTATATTTTAATATTATTTTGTATTTTATTAAAATTTTAGATAATTCTTTATAAACATTCTTTGGCACCCTTCCAGGTAAAATGTTTATAAAGAGTTTTATAACCTACTTTTAATACTCAGCAAATGACAGCTCGATATTACTCGTTCAATAATTAATATTTAACAAGTTTTTCACATTCCTTCGACTTTACTCAGAGCCAGTCCTATAAAAGTATTGTCTAGACCCAAAATTTATTCTGCAAAATGACAATTTCATGTGCTTGATTTCACCATTTTCTTTCAGATCCTTTCCTGTATGAAAAGTTCTAATTATGTCAAATTGTGTGATTTAATAAGTATAAAAAATTTTAATTTATTTAATAATTATAACTTTTTTCTTGTTACTGTTATTGAATATTAACCTTCTTTTAAAGGGTTTGCAAAAATTTTTTGAATCTGTGATGCAAGGAATTTTAAGACATGTTAATTTTGATAGTAAGTGTTACCTTACTATTTAAGTTATTTAGAAAACATTAGTAACTGTATTTTTTAAACAATTATAAATGATAAAATTATTATTGTTTTTTCTGTTTTCAGTTGTAAAATGTGTGCTGCTTGCAAGTCCAGGTTTTGTAAAGGTCAGTTTAAACTGTTTATTTTTTATTTATAGATGATGATTTAGTTTCGGAGTAGTTCTAAATTTTAAGGTAGATACATTTGTACTTTAATGTATAATTTTTCTCTTTAAGTAAATTAGCTTTTATGCCTAATTATCATTTCAGTTTAACAAAAATATTTAAATTATTTATAAATTAATGTTATGAGAGGATGGCATGATGTTGGAGTCAGCAATTTTGATCAAACTCAGTGAGGTTATAGTGCATCTTCAACAATTGACATGTTTCAGAAGGTGCAATACTCAAAACTAAAGGAGAAAATTGAGGTTGAAAATTGCAAATTACTTAAAACCTACAGAATTTCTGCCATTTGTAGTGGCTGGTGGCTTGGGATTTCATAATCCTGAGGTTCGTGTTTCAAAATCTCAGTGGTATCAATGTTTTTTTTTTTTTTTATACAAAACTATAACCTCACTGAGTTTGATCAAAATCGTTGACCCCAACATTATGCCGTCCCCTCATTAGTGTGAAGGAATAAAGCAAAAAGTAGATTATTATTTTATATATTAAATAAGAGCCAGTATTTGCAAGAAAAAACAATCAATAGCTCTGTTCTTGACTAGATTTTGCTGTTCAGTTCTAATATTTAATACTTAACTGCACAACAACACACTGGGATGAATATATAAAAAAAGGAGTGACTCACATTAACCAATTAACTGGAGTGCATATGATTAATATTTGTGAACATTTTCATAGCCCTTTCTGGGCTCTTCCTTAGGCTTGTTTTTTTTGTTCCAAAGTTGTCAGTCATATCTATTTTATGTAGTATTTAATGTTGCTTCACAACATACTTCACATTCTCATTGCAGTTTATGGCAATTGTCCACAAACAATATAATTTTTATAGAGTTAAATAGATTAAATAACTATAGACAATATAAAATTTAATGAAGAATAGTTAAGAGTAAGCTATAAAAAGTCATGATTTAAAATAATATAAAACAAATTAATAATTGATTGCAATTTGAAAAAAATTGTTTACCTATAAAATCCACTATCATCCATCTGTTTGTCTGTCTTTCCTTAATCTCAAGAATGGTATTAGATAGATGAAAGTCAAGACCAGATATGGAAAGATTAGGGGCAGAAGGCCCCTGATTAACTATATATGAACTTCAGTCTAGATCAGAAGTCACATGAATCCAATTAAAAAATTTTTCTCTGATTGGAGTTACATAGATGACTGGTATGACTCTGTTATCAGGAAAAGTATGATGTACAGGGGCAAGTCAGTACAAATTTGAGATAGAGAACATATATTTTAAATTGAATAAATTACAAATATGATTAAAACTTGTAGCCTGGCATTATAACATTGTCACAATGCCGGGCTGCAAGTTTTGCTTGTTATCTCTATAATGTTGCAAGAAAATTTGTTCAGCTTCCACAAACTTGATCTTGGTATTTGGGTCAAGTTTGTGGAAATTGAACAATAAATGGAATATTAGTGAGCATTTTAGAAGTTGGCAGAAAGAATTTAAAATCAACTGTTTACATGTCATCGATATTCTATTGAAGTCAATGATTAAACTATTGTACATGAAAAATATTTTATTAGTTATATTCAAGACATGATTTTACAGTAACTGACCTTTCAATGTTGTATTTAGTAAACATTTTTCATTTGACTTGCAAATTTTATCCCCTAAAAATCATTTTAGGAGGTCACAGCTGTCATATGTAAGTTTGTCTTGGAAATGAATGACACTTGACACTGTATTTAAATAAAAATAAACTCAAAAACAAAAAACTTGTAAAAATATCAAAATTAAAAATTTAGTAGGAACTCTGCTGGCATACTATTTGGCCAGCTTTGGCTAACTAAAGTAGCAGACTTTAGTTGAATATACAGTCTGTTTCAAAATTATAAACACACCCAATTTTTTTCAATAACAAAAACATTAACAATAGTAATGTATTTATTATATTAGTGTGTTGTTTACAACATCAATTTAAACATTTTTTGAAATTTTTTAGAGCTATTTGACAGTTACAAAAAACATTATCACAAATTTTCAATTTTTGATTGTTTCAAAAGTATAAACACAGGTGCATAAAATTAGTATGATTATTATTTTTTTATTAATTATTGGTTTAATTAGTTGTCACCAGAAGGTAGTATTATTCATTATTTACAAACATGATGACAATTTTAAACAGTTTTTTGTGATTTAAAACAATACTTTGTGGAAAAACAATAACAGAGTTGGAAATATGTGAAATTTACCAACTAAAAGGAGCAGGACAATCTCTTAAGATAAATTGTGGCAGCTGTAAATTGACCTACATGTGCTGTGAGAAATCTGTTAATTCAGGGTGAAAATTATGGCAGAAATAAGCAATGTAGAAGGCCTAAACTTCTTACACGTAGAAATGAAAGAAAGGTTTTTTGTTACTGACAGTCAACAAGTTGTTTGTCAGAGAATCAGCATCAACGTTGCCAACTGCAGTTTCACCAGCAATTGTATGGAGATATATGTATAATCATAGAAATGCCACGTTTACAAAAATGACTACCAAACCAAAATGAACACAATTACACAAAACAGCTATTTTAAAGTGGGCCAAATTTGGACAAGAGGACATGGAAAGAGGAGTGGAAACAAATAGTCTTTTGAGATGAAAAAAAAAATGGAATTTGGATGGACCTGACAGTTATAGTCACTACTGGCATGATTTGAGGAAGACCGAAGTAGTCAGAATGGGCAGACAGCAAGGTGAGGGCTCTGTGATGGTGTGGGCAAGATTTGGATGAGGGTAAAACAGACATTGTATCTATAGAAGGTAGAATGAATTCTGAAAAGTATCAACTGAAATGGCAAGAAAACTGGCAATTCCAATAGGATAATGCTGCCATTCATACGTTAAAGTCAACTAAAAATTGGTTTGCTGAAAAAAAATTAATGTAATTGATTAGCCATTATGAAGCCCTGATATGAAAATAGAGAAAATTTAGGGCATTACAAGTCATCTTGTTTATGGCCAAAACAGACAATACAACACTGTAAATGAACTGAAATTAGCTATCATTAATTATTGGAAAAATATTAAATAACTTCAAAAACTAGTAAAATGTATGCCTGATACAATATTTGAATTAATTAAATCAAATAGTGGCTCTACAAAATATTGAGACATCACAAATAATTTTTTATGCACCTGTGTTTATACTTTTGAAATAATCAAAAATTGAAAATCTGTGATAACTCTTTTGTAATTGTCAGATTACAAAAGAGAAGGCCAAAATTTCAGAAAATGTTTAAATTGATTGATTGTTGTAAACAACATACTAATATAATAAATACATTACTATTATTAATGTTTTTGTTATTGAAAAAAGTTGCGTGTGTTTATTATTTTGAAATGGACTGTAGTTGGCTAGATTTCAGAGTCAAAATAGTTAAATGAAATTAAAACAAAAACTTTAGTTTGTTCTATCTTTAAGTATTTGGATCTCTAAATTAACTGGCTGTTGGACAGGTAAAATTAAAATTAAAAATATTCCATTATCACAAACATTCATGTTCATGCAGAATCCAATTTTATTCAACAAAGAAGAATTATGTTCACAATATAATGTATAATTGTAAATAAAAACAAATTACACACATGAAAAAACAAATTACACACATGAAAATCATTATGTATACATTCAACCTGTCCCATGGTATTCCCGAAATATCTTGGGTCGAAACATAATGACCTTGATCGGTGGACTCAAGCTATTTTGTTTCTGCATCGGAACATTTTTGACACTAGATGTTGTTACTCATCATAATTTTTATATTAAAACTAACTTCCAAAATATAATTTTGTTCTTACATTTTTTAATATGTCTATTTTGTTTGTGCGAAATAAAAAAATAATTTTGGATGATACAATAGCCATGATTTTTTCTAAAACATGTAGTTTTTGTTAGGCTTAATGCCGACAAAAATTCAACATGAAGTGACAGACGTCGGAGAAAAATTTCAACATGGGATAGGTTAAAAAATACATTTGGTATTTTAAAGTAAAGATTATTTTGAGTTAAAATTGATATTGCTATTATTTGTGTTGTGTTTTTATATGCTTTTTATTTGGAGTGTTAGTTGCAAAGGAGATGTAGACAATCACAGCCATTTCAGACATAATATGTTCCTAAAAAACCTCATATGAAAGTTGAACAATAGTTACACATTATAATAAGCATTCCATTCCCAGAAAGAGGGGGAAAAAAAACTATAAAATCTGTTATTGAAGTAGGAAGGTTGTACTTTATAATACATAAAACAGTAAATTAAACAGAAAGCAGACAATAAAACTTAATTTTCATATATGACTGCTTTTATTGCAACTAAACAGATAAATAAGCTTTGTTTGTGCATGATAGCTTGAAATTTTTCTGTCAGTTCAAAATGGGCCAAATGTCAAGGATCATGTGTATCTTAAATCAGTTCCTCAAAAAGTAATGTGTGTTAATAACAAATCTCTTTATAAAACCATAAAAATGGGCTTTCCTAATTAATTATGATTGATTTATTTGTTTCCTTGATGCAGGAATATTGAAAAATTAAGCAGCACAGATTTCTTTCATTAATTTTTAGTAGTATTTTCTTATTTTTGATTACATTAGCCAACATTTGGCTAATGTAATTTTAAGGTTTTATGAAAGAATTTGTTTAAGAAGGTCCTTTTAATAGTGTTTGAACTGAAAGATTTAAAGTAAACAGCTATAGCATTATCACAACATTTCTGTGTGATTATTTCATAATTTTGTTAATTTCATCTTTATAAATAATTTTTAAAAAATACTGCTACTTACAATAAAAATTATAATTACATTGATATTTAGATAAGTTTTGTCAAATTTTCTAAATGAAAATTTATTTCAGGATCAATTTTATGAGTATATGTTTGCTCAAGCTGTCAAACTTGATCAAAAAGTATTACTAGAGAATAAAAGTAAATTTGTTCTAATGCATTCATCTTCAGGTTTCAAGCATTCTTTGAAAGGTAAGCTTAAGTATTTTTAACTATAATGAAAGTAGAAAACTAAACTATACAAAACATTTAAATAATAATCATTGAGATATTGATGATAAAATATAATAGAAAATCAAAAATATTCCTTTAAACTTTGTGATAACAACAATGATAATAATTAATATTGTTTAATAAAATCAATTTTTTAGCTTTGAACTACTAATTAATATTTAATGGCTAATTCTTACAGAAATCTTGGCAGACCCAGCTGTTGCTGTGAAACTGGCAGACACTAAGGCAGCTGGTGAAGTTAAAGCTTTGGAATCATTTTACACAATGCTTCAAAATGAACCGAATCGTGCTTTCTATGGTTTTAATCATGTTCAGAAGGCAAATGAAGGCCAAGCTATTGAGACTTTGCTCATTTCTGATAATTTATTCAGGTATGATTCTATTTAATTAAAGCAATTTGACACTCAGTAAAAATTCTATTCTCATATGAATAAAGTGTTAATGTAATGTTTGATTGGTTATCTAATTAGTTAGTGGTCTTAATATTGTCCAATAGATAATTCAGCTGATCACTTGGTAATATATTGGGTGGTTGTTTACTATGTTAATACAATTTTTGTTGAATTGAAGATCATTAGAAAATTAAATTCTTTATAATTCAGTATTGAGGAATCATTAACCAAAAATGTTGGGTAAATAGCTACTATAAACATGTCTGTGTTAACTAAAACTCAAATGAGATTATACTATCTTCCACAGTTTTTAATTAGTTACTATCCTTTATATTCCTGATATTGCTTTTCATATTCTTTACTTCAACAGATGTTTTGGCATGTAGCAACCTGTTATATAGACTAACATTGTTTAATCAAAAGAATTTATCTTCAGTTGTGCATGGTCTTCTTTCAATGTGAGATCAATAAAACTGTATTTTTTTATTTTGTAATCAGAAGAATTCGTAATGCTTCTTGTTTCAAACACAAGTTTCTTTCATTTGACATGGCTCATTATATGTCATCCAAACTATAACTGTTGTTAAATAATCAGAAAATCTACTTTAATCACTCAAAGCAAATGTTTTTGGCTCTCTTTTGAATGCCATCATTATGATATTGGAGACTTATTAAATATTTTATTCATATGAGTTTTAAGCTCCTTTGAAATGATGAAGATTTTGTTTTATAAAATTTTTCTAAAATGGCATCCCAAATTTAAAAAATATTCAGCAACTTGTTGCTGGGTTTGTTTTTTCTTTTTGTTTTTAGTTATAATTTATAACTTTCATGTACATTTTAGATGTTAAAAATTACTAAATGGAAATATTTATGACATTAGATCATTATTTGGTATGAGGTGCAATTAACTTTCTTGTGGTATAGCGTTATCATTTTTTGTGCTGTTTTTTTATTACTCACCTTACTGAAATATAATTTATATAAAATAAAAATCATACTGTTAATATATTTTAATTATATATATATATCTTAGATGCCAAGATGTTGCAAAAAGAAAACAATATGTTACTTTGGTGGATAGTGTTAAAGATAATGGTGGAGATGTCAAGTTATTCTCTAGTCTTCATGTTTCCGGAGAACGTGAGTGTTGTTCTATGTGCAATGTCAATATTTTATAAATTTTTTACAGCATTACATACAGTGATTACAATAAGTAGAATGACACCATATCTAGTTAATCAATAAAGATGACAAAGAAACTATTCTCTTTAGATGTTAATTCTTTTAAGTCTGTTAGAATTATTTCACAAAACACACAGATGTTAAATGATGGCTAGTACTTTCAGTAAATATTTATTTAGTAAATATTCAGTAAATTTTATTATCAGGCACTGTTAGGCTCAGTTTCTGGATATCCTGATGTTCTCTTTGTGTAAAATTCAAGAATATAAACAATATTCTAAAATTTAAAGTATGATTATCTTTAACTAAAGACTGTTGTTGTCTGCCACACAGCTTTATGTTTTTCAAGATGGTATGGATGCAATAATTATATGATATCTCTTACTATCTGTGGAAATGCCTGGATTATGCTTGGTCTTAACTGCCAGTAAATTTTTTCTGACTGGGTGATATTTCATAGAAAGATTGTAGTAACAAATTTAAGATTTGGCAAATGAATCTTGAGCTCTGATTAGAGAGTTATTGGAGACATTCAGGAGTAAAAGTATCTTCTCTATTAACATTTAAAGAATGTTTATTAAAAGTATATCACATCAATGTACTCCTATGTAAGTATAAATTACCTAACTTCACTGCCTGTAACTGGCGTTCTTCTTCTCCAATACGAAGGACTTTGCAAAGTCCTTCATATTGGAGTCCTTCAGTTAGGTAATTTATCAACTCCGGTGTTTTTATTTCTATATAGTTTACCTATGTAAGTATATTGAAACTTAGACAACTGAAGAATTTTCATTCTGATAATATCAGAATATAGATTATTATGATATAAACCAAAAAAAAAAAGTTAGGGTAGCTTTTGTAATGGAAAGGTCACATACCAGTTATTTTAGAAGGATCTCGATAAGGTTGTATATTGCCTTACTGATTTTGTAAGTGTGTATATTTAGCACACATGCACAGAAAGCTTCATAACAACTAATAAAGCAAAACAAATCATGATTTCTGAAATTAATGTCAAGAATCTTTTATTATGAAATTTTATATCTGAGAAGTATATTGTTTTTAAATTTGATTGGTCACTAAGAGAATGATTTGATGCTAGCCATTTTTTTGATAAACTTGAATTAAAATATTATGATTTGAGTTTGTTGTACAAATGATGCGGTTGAAATTTTGAGAAAAAAGTGTAGTCTTTAAGTTACCAATATACTGTTGTAACTTGCCTTTAAACGTTATATCTAATACATTCATCAAATATTAATAAATTTATAATTAAAAAATTTTTTTCCTTTTTTTTTAGAGTTGGGTCTGTTAACGGGTATAGCAGCCATCTTAAGGTTCCCCATGCCAGAATTGGAAGAAGAAAGCAATAGTTCCAGTGAAGAAGACAATTAACGTATAACTTAAAAAATATATTTCCTAATAAACTGCTGTCAAGAACTCTACTCAGTTTCTGTTTGAAGTTTTTCAAGTACTTTCATTTAAAATTTATTTAGTTATTTCTACACAAATAATATATTCATATAAAAATGAATATTTTCTTATTTGAACTTTAAAACAGTAATTTTTATGTCACAATCTACAAGATGTAATATTACTTTCATTGGAAAAAGTAATATGTAAGTAAATTTCAAAATGAAAATTAGATAAATTTCTTTCTGCAATAAAAGGGCACTTCCAGGTATGCAAAATCAATTTACTCTCTACATTTATTAACAGTTAATTTGCTAAAATTATGCTTTTTAAACAGCATTGTTTCTACTTAGCTATTTTCATCAATTTTCATGAGAATGATGATGATAAATATATAAAAATAAGCAATAAATACGAGCACAGTCGGTCAGAAAAACGTTATCCATTGGGCTGAACGATTAGCGTAAGTTTACTGTCTTAAGACATCAGAGTTCAAATTTGGTTTCTATGAATAATTTTGATCAATGTGTTGTTTCATTTCTTAATTCATGCTGCTGATTATATTGCAAATCAGGCTATTTTCCATCTGTAATAGGTAGATTTGAAACTGACCTTATAGTTCAAAGTTCATTGTCTTACATTATCCAATCAATTGATAGATAAGATAAAAGATGTTTGTAGAGAAAAATACTCTTGCAAAATATTTTTATCTTTTCTAATGTCAAATTCTCTTAAATGAACCAAAAAATAAAAAAGAATACATAATATAGAAGAGGAAATGCTTATGTCAGTAACAGAATTTAAAGAATTTTCTTAGATTTTTGCAACAAACAAGAATTTTCCAAATTATATTTAAGCAACAAATAAAAATTGTTAACTTTTATAAATATTTTCAATGTTAAAAAAGCATTAAAACATTTTAGAATTTAATATACATATTTTCATTTTAAGTAACATGAAGTATTTATCAATATAATTCTCTGCCAGTGATACCCAAACTATAATGACTGTGCTAAATCTGTCTTGCAGCACACACAAATCCAGCCCACAGTGGTGCCAATTGAAAAGATTGGCACCACTGCTCTAGATGGCCAGATTGGCACCACTGCTCTAGATGGCCAGATTGGTAAATTCGGTCTGCCTCCCACCCTTCCGTTCTGGGAGATTGGATTTGCATTTGAGTTGGGCATTTCAGGAATTTTTCACGGGAGGTCAGCCCTGGATACATTGTGGAGTGTGCCATAAGAGTGATATAAAATTTATAGAATAATTAAAAATGCTAGTTGTTTCTCTTCTTTTTAATAGAAAAAATATACATCTTTAACCTAACTTTTTTTCATACACGTAAAAGTATCTTTGAAGCATCACAGGCTCCTTGGTGTGTCGCCAAAAATTGTGGCAAGCACAATTTTTGGCGACACACCAAGGATAGGCAAAAAACTACTAGTTTAGAGGATAAGCAGCTGCTTATGGGTTAAATTACTTAAATTTTTATGGCTAATAGAATAAAAATTCCATACCAAATTAGAATTGTGAACAAATTAGGAAAAACAAAATTCGAAGACACTCTTTTCTTTGCCCTCTCATGTTACTCATGATCTACTCCCAAAGCAGAAGGCAATTAAATCATGTCAAAATCCAAATTCCATATTTTTACAATTGGATCTCTTTGTATCATACCTCTAAACCATAGATTTAAGTACAGAAAATACTCTAGATAACTGGAAATTGTGTTGAAACAAGTAACCAGTGGAGAGAGTTTACATTCATAATTTGAAGAAAATATAATGTTCCACATGTTAGAACTCTTATCAAAAGGATCTGACATACAAAAATTCATAAATTAGAAATTTGTATTCTAGAGAAGAGTTATAAAAGATCTATTGCCTCATAATTTCAGTGGAATATGTCTAACTAGGTTATTTGAGTGTCTTGACCTTTGCACTGATTTCCCTTAATAAATAGCAAAGACATGATTTTTTATGCCTTTAATTTATTCATTAGTTTGAGTATATTTTTACATTAAGAAACGTTTTAAAACGACTTAAAATACTATTTTGAAGGGACTTTTTTTCTGGATTTATTGAAAATATTGTTTTAATTCCTTATTTCTTCCAACCTTTCAACTGTTTGGGCCAAATGCCAGCTTTTTTTTTTTGAACTCTTATGCAATTTACTGTATATCCCTTATTAGTTAATTTATACATAGAAAATTAATACAAAGGCATTAATTAATTAAAATTTCGTAATTATTTTGGCAAGATTGTGAATGAAAAATGATTAGTTATCATTTTACAAATATCCAACGTGTAACTTTGTCTCAATATATATCAGTATTGAGGATCGGTAGGACATCAAAAATTTATTTTCGTAATAGATAAAAGTGTAGCCTTGAATTTTGGACTAATTTATAATTAATTTTTTTTTGGGGATAACCTCGAGATAATTTAAATTTATAAGTATATTTTCCATAAGCCAACAGCTAGCTTTAATTCATCTCCTCCATACATTCTGATTAAACTTAATTCTAAAAAAAAAAATGATGTTAACAATTAAATTATAAAAATAGGGACTTACATAAATTAGAATTAAAGTCCTTATCTATTTTTATACATTTGTTTATATTAAAAATAATCAGAACTGTAATATTATCACCAAACATTACACTATAAGCTGTTGAAGTATTTTTCTAGTGGAAAGGTTATCATCGATTGTTAGTTATAGATTTTGTTTATTGCTACACAAATATACAAGGTTTTTTTTCTTATGTCGTATTATTTACAAAAGTTAAACCGCTTGAGAATTCTTCTGTTTGTGTTTCTTGAAGAAAGATTCGAACAGCCAGAGCGTTGATGCAAATATTAATATGGCAGAGAACATGTAGAGAAGATTGTCATAAGTTCCACTTCTATCCCTGAAGAAACCTGAAAATTATAGTTAAATTCTGTTAATGGTATTTTATGAAAAGTAACAAGAGGTGGTTCTCATTTTTCTCTGGATACATGAAGCCATGTTTTGGCTTCCTGAACTGTCTCCAAAGGAACCAAGAACATGGCTTCTTGTATTGTCTCTAAGGAAACTAAGAACATGGCTTCTTGTGTTATCTCTACGTGAAATTGTTTCTTAGTTAACGATTGGGAGTACTTCAAGCAATTATTTTAAGTGATCTTTTCAAGTATAACATCAACAAGACAATTTATCTTATGAGTTCCTCTTATGAAAACTGTGTATTGAACTTTTACTTTCTATCCTTATCTTCTTTATCGATATTTGCTCTGAGTGACACTTTACTATTTTTATTTAATCTCAAACAATAATATCACTTGTGAATCGAGGAAGGACCTTATCACTGAACGATAAAGTATATAAAATATTCACACACAACAGTAAATTATAAAAGGTGAAGTGCAGTTCTCTAATCTTCAATAATATCCCGTTATAGAGAGTAGTGCATTCCACGTTCTGTAATTTTTTTTTCATTTATTCACACTTGGATCAGTGAATTTACAGCAAATTACATATAATTATACATTAAAAATAGTGATCATTAGAAACTACTAAGTATGATATATAATTATAAAAGTTAAAAGAGAGCTAAAAATACGGAACCTTTTTTTGTAGAACGAGACTTAAAATCACGGATGAATTGCACAAGAGCAAATGTATAAAAGGATGTTGCTTTATTGTAACCTTTCGAACAGATATAAAAATTAATTATATAATCACACCGTGATTTACTTAATTTCCTGAACATATTGAGAATTCACTGCAACTTCTATGAATATGACAACCGATCCCCACTCGAGCCCAGCAGGTGCCGAGTGGATAAAACCACAGAACACTGATAGTTTGTCGTGAGTTCACGCCTCGTCAATGGAGTTTTCCAGATTTTCTTCAGGTTAGTAACTCCTAAATAGGGGTCAGTTTACCATAGAGTCCCGAGATGCATACCCTCAGCAGATCGCCCGCAAAGTGCATTTCCTTATAGCAAATTGATACCCATTCACATTTCCAATATACTCAGTTATGATGTCTCTTATTGTCATAAAATTATAGTGAATCTGATCAATGATGAGGTATGTCTTCCTCAAAATATCAATTAGTTGGAATGAGGACAAATTAATCCTCATTTTATCTTACGTTATTTTAAAAAAATTAAAACGTACTCACCTATTAAACTGGGTCGAACACACGCCAACAGACCAAATATTAAAGTAGCCATACCGATAGCTAGAGGAAGTTTCCGAATACCCAAATATTCGGTCATCAATGCAGAAAAATTGATCAGAGTACATCCCGAAGCGAATCCCAAACAGATGGACAAGGTCATCATCCACCAATAAGTGTTTATAGAAGGTAATATGGCCGCTACGATGGCCATTAAGGTCATTGTTATCTGCACGATGTACTTTCTCTTTGTACACTTCAAATCGGCGATCCAACCAGATATTAATCTTCCAGATAAGTCTCCGGATGAATAACCCGATATAAGGAACACAGCTTGATTCTCGTCCATGGATTTGTCGAGAGCTAAATCCACAACGATCATCAAATACGTGGCCGAAGCCAGAAAATAAATAGAAAAACTCGTACAAATGATAATGAACATAGGATTTATAAGTATATCGGTAAGAGATTTTAGGTACTTGCTGGAGAAACCATTATGCACTTTGGTCTTCTTCAATTGTACCAATGCCACATCACCTTTGATACATATAATAGTGTCTTTTTTTCGTTTGCACGGCGAAGAATCCAGGGATTCGTGCAAAGTTTCGCTCTCGCTGGGATAGTAAAACAATGAACCGGGTATAGAATGAAGCGCAATACCACCCAACAGTAGAAAAGTACCACGGAGTCCATAATGCTCCAGAAAATATTCGGTAATGGGTGGAAAGATGAAAGACCCAATACAAGAGCCCGCGTATGCTAATCCAGCGGCAGTCGCTCTTCTCTTATGAAAGTGACGATTAATCACCACGTGTGTTAACGTGATGATGATCCCGTTTCCGATACCTACGAAACACAATGTAAATTAAGCGCTAGTATTTTATTTATTAATGTTTCGAGCATACTTACCCGGCATAGCCCCATAAAAGAATGTGACGTAAGTGATGTTATAGGCAAAGTAACAAAAAATAATACCCACCGACGAAAGAACCGTGCTCAGAAAGACAACGTAACGCAAAGACCAATAATGTATGGACAAACTGGCCACGGGTCCTGAAATGTCCAAAAAAATAATTAGCGAAGGATCTCATATAAATATAGTCTAATTATTTACTTACCAACAAGAGAAACTAGGATGCTGTATACTCCTCCCGGCCAAGCTGCCTGTTCTCTGTTGGTGCCAAATTGTGCCATGAGAGCCACATATAAGACACCCGCGGATCTCTGAATACCCGCCAGTGTAAAATTAACAAAGAAACACCCAAAAACCACAAACCACTTTTTAGAACCGGTGATCTCAGCGGTCATGCTGTTGTCCACATTTATTTCGCCACTGCAACTGATATCTATCTTGGTATTTAGACTTCACCCCTACGGTCACATGACCCACATTTCTAATTTCGTTAGCTTAGAAAAAAAAAGAAATATTTACTAATTTTTCTATATTTATGGTCCCTTGTAATTAATAAACTACCATATATTTAATTTTATATAAATATATAAATGTTTTAGATGCATATTTATGTTTTGTGTATGCATTTAATTGTTATTTAGTGTGAAGAAATACGTTTGTCAGCAAAACAGAAACGTACGGTTAGATACGATAGAGTGGATGTTTATATATACTGCTGGCCAAGAGAAATGCAACACCATGCAAGCCTCTAGATATTGCAGGTGTTGCATTTTACTTGGCCAGTAGTGTATTTATGCTCTTGCATGAACATAATAAAAAATGAAGACATACATATCTATTAAGGAAAACTTTAAGGGTACTCATTACCATCCATTAAAGGGGATATTCACTATGAAGACTATGTGCCCTCTCAGATACCCATGTACTAAAGTACTGTATTATTAAGGGGGTTATCCACTAGAATACCACAGAAAGGAAAAACTCCATTAAAGCACAAGTAAAAGGAAGGATTACTTATTAAATTTTCACAAAAAAAAAGAGCAAAGCATCACCAAAAGAGATGCTAGACACTAAAGAACCACTAAAAGAAGGAATTATCCCCTAATGAAAGTCTTCAACTACAGCACCATTAAAAGAAGCGACTATCCATTATTAATTAAAGCATCACTAAAAACGAAATCATCCACTAAAGCACCACTAAAAACGAAATCATCCACTAAAGCACCACTAAAAGCACCACCCAATAAGGTATTACTATAGGAATCTTATTTAATTTAAGGATACCACTAAAGAAGACACCCATTAAAGAGACTATTCCCTAAAGCAACCCATCACCAAGTGGATCATCTATTGTGCAGTCCATTAAGAAGAAATTACACCATGAACCATCCACATTGAGTCACGTTACTCCATTTTAATTTTTTTTCTTGGAGATTTTGTTAATCGATTGCTCAATATTTTACTTTGATATTGATGATATTCATTATCAATTCATGCATATGAAAAATATTTTGTTACTTGCCATTCAATACTCGTGACGACAATTTTCATCACCTATCATCTGATAACCCAGGCTATTCATTATATGAAAATAACACACCCGATAAGATGAATAGATAAAAGTATTTTCAAATTCGATCGACAGATGGCGCCATGTGTTTTAAATTAAAATTTATTAAATATAAATTAAAGAAAAATATTTAAAAATTTATTATTATAGTGAGTTCACACATATTACGCATTANTATTATAATTAAATTTAAAATTAATTTTTTAAAATTATGATAAATATTCTGAGAAGTATAATGAGAAGTTAAGTATATATTATATGCGCGTCGCGTCGCAGTTTAATATATATTATATGCGCGACGCGCATATAATATATATTAAACGACAGTTAATTATAATTTAATAAGGTTATGCGTTAAATTGGCAATTAAACAATCAATTAATTCGATGATTTAATTGTTAATTTAAGATTTAAGGTCTTGTAAGCTCGTTAATTTATGAAATGCCCGGATATTATACCAGAAAAATCATTAATTATTATGAAAAAATGTAAAAATTACACGAAGAGCGGTAAATAATTAAATATCTTCTTAATAAAAAGCTTCTTAATAAGATACTTAATTACAGTTTACGCGCATGAATTCCTGTTACGAACCATTTACAATTAAGAAGCGCCCAAATAATCAATTATAAAAAATCAACGTCAATTATTGCTTTAATTAAGCTTTTAATTGATAATTAACTAATTAAGTTCGATACTTTCATGTAATATGTTTCTATTTTTTAAAAAAACGTGGGTTTTTATTGTGTTTTTCTATCGATAAATGTACAAAAATACATTAAGTCAAGAATAAAGTTGTTTTATGAAATCCTGCTGAAGTCCCTGAAGGACCGTGAAGATTTTTATTGAGATCTTTCTTTTATAATTACATAGAAAACCTCAAGAATTTCCTATGAAAACTTCATAAGAATATTTCAAATTAACTTTCTCTTATACCTGTCTTTCCATCATACAGGTTTTTCATTAAATTATATTGAAAGACGTGAGATTCCTCTTGAGATTCCAATAAAAATCCTTTGAAGCAATAATAAGAATTAGAAATCTCCATAGTAAAATTCTAAGAAAATCCTCATAAGAATATCATAAGTCATTCTTGTAAGGTACTGTACCATTGAGGTATCGTTCAGAGGTATTGCATAAGATGTATTTATGTAGTAGTGTATACATACACCGATTAACTATGTTTAGAGCACTTAAAAAAGAAGCCTCGTACTACTAATTGCATAATTGGATCCTACGAGTATCTCATGAAAGTTTTGAGGCTCTTGCAGGAATGATACAAATCCCAATTAATGTATGTTTCTCACCCCCCGTAAACTTGAAAATTCCATTTATTTACATAGCGCAATACTGGTTAATCGTAACATAAATATGTATTAGTTTATAATTGGCTTGGACAAGTAAAATTTCCCCGAATGTTGCCAAATATAAGTCAAAATGAAATTATATTTATCTTGAAAACCTGCGGTTTTTGTGGTCTCGGATTTCCATGACAATTTAATGTATTTTATTTAATGATCTTAAACAGTGTTTAGATAAGGTTAAATTATGTTTTAATGAAGTGAAGGAGATCTGTCCTCTACACATTGGGGATTTCAATAAGGAAAAAAAAAAACATCTCATTGAAAGACCTTACATTGTAAAGGAACAAGAATCTCAGAATCTCATTAAAGAATTCCTACATTAATGATTTTATATTAATACCCTAACGTAAGGATGCAAAATTATCAATACTTATCATTTCTTCCCCCCTAATTTGGGAACAGTTGGAACATTCTTAGCTAATTGTTTTAACAAAGGCACGTCAGGTTTTGCATCTATTAAGTGGGTCATTTGTTAGTTCACATGTTGCCACTCCTTATTGTCTTATTGCCCACTTTAGTTTAGATCAATCACGTTAAACACCTGATACCTTTACCTGAAGCATCCTAAACACCTGACTAATACCAAAAATTATACAAATGATTGTACAGTACACGGTGCCATATTGAAATGAGGGCTTAGTTGTATTTTTAGAATTTAATTTAAGTAATTAGAATGGTTTAAATCGGTACCAAATTTCTGAGGAATTGTTTTTTTGGCACATTTTTTTAGTGTTTTTTGTTTTACTTTATCTCCTCACATTTAATTTTTTTTCATACGAATTTACGAATAATTTCTAATGTAGGCCAACTTCAACTTATTTTAAGGACTTAAAAAATTAGAGTTTTAGAAAAAAACTAATTATATTTTTTTAAAAATAGATTGGGGAATTTAATTTTAATGTTTTTCGAATTTAAATATTTAAATAAAATTAATTAATTAAGATTTTTATTATATCTAAACACGTCGTAACGTCACGACGGTTGTGTTTAATAGCGTTGAGATTTAATTAATTATGCGGAACGGGTTTAAAATTATTGCTTAATTAAATTTAATTTGCACAGAAATCTTTAATTAAATCTTCATTTTATTTACTTTTAATGATTTTTTTTGTTATTGTTGTTGTTAAATATATTTAATTCTCGTTCTAAGGATGCTATGGACTATGATAAGTGCTGCGGTGCTTGGATATGAATGAGTGATTTTTTTTTTATTGAATTTTCTTAAGCAAAGTTCCTGTTAATCAGGAAAATTCGAAGAAAAATATGTGTTTTCTTACATTTGATCTTATCGTATTGTTATGTAAGGCAATATATTATATAACCCCATATAAAAAGACACTGATATTGTACTTAAAAAAAATGCAATAAAAGTGAATAAAATCAACAAATTTCTTTGTAAATGTTTAAAAATATGATTAAAATATATTTATCCGTAAATAATTTACATATAAATTAATTATTTTGATTATAAAAATGCAATTTCTGCCGTTATTGCAGGCGAAGTATCGCGCCGCGCATTAGAAGAAACGACACTACAGCTTCTGTTTAGTTTACAACACACGCATAACTACGACACAATTCAGCAAAGGAAAAAGTAAAAACAATTAATAGAGTGCATAAAAATAAAGAAAAACAGATGAATTATTATCAAAAAAAGTGCAGTAAAGTATGCTGAACGTGTTCTGTGAACGTTCAACATAAGAATAAACCAGTTAAAAATCCTTCAACACTAGAACGTAACGAAATATTTTTACTTCTAAATGTAATTAAACTATTGATTTTACGTTTATCTTCATTTATACATGAAAAAAATACGAAATTAATGGAGTTAATTGTTAACCTACTTCAAATTGCCAGCGAAAAGTCACGTTCTTATAACTTCCTACCCCCGTTACTCGCGTAAGATTATACAATAACATTGTTACGTTTATGCGAAAGTAACAATGACACATATAACAGATTAATTACTCAAACATTTAAAGGTATAGGACCTCATAACTGTACAATAAACAATTAACGACACCATTCGACTGTACAATAAATAATGTAAACAGGTAAAAAATTTTATAGAAAAATATTATTCCGAAAAATTCTCTAATTAATTATATAAGTATTTATAAAGGAATTATTTAATTATTATTTAAAATTACACTCGTATGTCAATTGTAAGAGTGTTGTTGAGGTGTATAACGTTCTAATTTCTTACTAATCTTTCTTAGAATAGTGTAACACGTGAAATTTCTCTTGCATATAAGTTACACCCCTAGTAAAAGCATTCGATACTTCACATTACATCAACAGAGGGCAGTTTAAAATACTTCATGCATTAAAACCTGCAAGACAAGCGGGAGTTGGGAAGCATTTAAGCAGATAAAAAAAAATATTCCTATTATTTAAAAGAACACACCTGATGACGCTATTGTAGTAGTAAGAATCATAAAAAAAAAGAATAATAATAATAATAATACCCGGAGGAGTGAGTAATGTCGTTGTACTTGGCCACAGAACACATTGGATAAAGTAGTTAAGCTAGGTGTAATCTAGTGTTTGAAGGGCAAAGTAGCGAGTTATGTCCAGACAAGGTAATCATATAGATAGAAGACGAGACGGAGGATGGGGATGGATGATCGTTTTAGGTGCATTTTTAGTTAATTTTACAATGTTAGGCCTTTTGAGATCGGGTGGAATTATATACGTGGCTCTTGTCGATTTTTTTGGTATAAGTAGAAGAGAAGCATCGTGGCCCTTTACTTTATCGGGAGCTCTCATGTTTATAACAGGTAAGTCACTTATTTAAATTTAAATTAAGCCGTTAAACGCTTATATATAATCGTGCAACAAGCTTGGTATTCATAAAGCGAAAATGATGATGATGATGATGATGATGATGATGATGCTCCTCACACTTAGAGAATTATCATCAAGGAAGGCGAACAAAGTTTAAAATAATTATAGAGAGATTTAGTGAATAATTTAATCGTTAAAATTAATTAAAAGCGTGTTTTTATTCAGATATTTAAGCTTATTTTATCGTAACGAAAAGATCATCTTCAGGTGTTCTCGTGTATCAATTCTAAGAAATGAGGGTCAGAATATGTTAAATGTTATAGCGAATTATTTCGCAATATCAGGTCAAACAGGTTAATCTCGAATGAAGCTTCGATAAAAGAATATTTATAATATAAACACGAGAAAACACTACAAATTTCATTCGTTTAAATATAATTAAAAATTTATCCAACGAGCTTCAATTATAATTTACAAATTGCAATTTTTTATGGTATTTTTACGTGTTTATGTACTTCATTCAGCCGTTTAGAGAAAACATTATTTTGTTTTGTATCCTCTAAAAAATAAATATGTATTTTTTTAATTATTATTATTTTACATAAATGTGTTTTGTATGTGTTAATTACATTTCTGTCACGCATTAATTAATTGTAAGCTTTCCAATGCCTGTATATATTAATACTTCTTCATAAATTGTACTTTCTTATTACGAATTTTTATATTATTTTAACTAGGAAATATATTTTGGTTACTCGATACAGTGTAAATGATACTTGAGTGATACTGGATTAAATTACCTTCCTGTTTTCAGTTAATTGGAATTGTTGTTCAGATAGTTTTTAATGTATTAAAATGAATAAAATTGAGAAAAATTGTACAATAAAATGGGAAAAATTGTATAATAAAATATCAATAGAATGGGCAAAATTGTATAATAAAATATCAATAGAATGGGCAAAATTGTATAATAAAATATCAATAGAATGGGCAAAATTCTACAATAAAAAATGTCAAAAAATAAAGAAAATTATGCCAGAAAAAATACTGTAAATAAAAATTGTTACTGCCAAATTTGCAAAATTCCATAAATAAATTCGACTAAAAAATCAATTTAAAAAAATATAAAAAAATTAAAAATAATAATAATAATTTCTAGCTCTTATGGGTCGAACGTGTTTTAACAATAGAGGTACCGAGAAATGTCTTCTTTTTCTGACTCTCTTCCACGAATTATCTCGGATTGAGAACACAAAACAATTTCAAATTACTAAATTAAATTTTAAACACAATTTAAAAATCATGTAAGAGTTGACTTCTATGGATTGGGGGGATATATAATTTATCACGTGAATTTAATTGGGTTATAGCCGGAAGCCGTAGAAACGTTCCAATTTAAAATTTATAATTATCGAGCCGGTATATTTTTAATAAAACATTTGCCTGATTTATTTTTATAACACGAGAATTTCCTTAATTATTTATTGGTTCAACAGCAGAAAGAATTGTTCAATTCATTGAAACAAAACTAATATACCAGCTACTTGGCGCAATTACCTTTCAACCAAGACTAAAAACTTTTATTTATTAAACATTTTTTTATTATTTTTTTCGGTTCGGTGAACCTTTGAACTGTTATTAACAGATGAATGTCGGGTTTTCTTGAGTAAAAATGCTGTTTTTTTAAGTCTGGTAATGGCTCTTTTTCGATTTTCTAACACTCGAATAGAAAGAGAACCATTGTGAAGTCCTATTGTAAAGTCCTTAGTATAATCTTAGTATAAAAGTAGTATAATCTTTAATATTATCGAATGATAGATGTTGAATAGGATGAAATAAATTGCATTTTGTGTTTTTCTTTGTCGTTGCCATTGTCAAGGATTTTTTGATGCCAATCTTTTATATTATTTCTTCTGTTTTGTCTTCTCTGAATGGATTTATCAGGAAGTTTGTAATTACGAAAATTTTCCCATTTATAACAATACTTTTAACAATAGAATAGAACGTTACGTGACTTTATTTTTTGAAAAATTTAAAATAAAATTGATTGAAATTACACGAACTTTGTTTAAATGCCAATTCATTACGAACTTCTGAAGATTTGTAATTCTAGTGAAGATATTAGGAGGGATTTTTCTTCTTTTTTTATTAATTTAACTGGTAAAAATGGTTACTTTACACGTGAGACGAGGTATTTATAGATTTTTAAGGTATACCTTTGTAATTTCCCATCTTTCTAAAGGAGTATCTCGTGTTAAAAGCTCGTTCGTTAAACTCTGGTATGAGTCCACTTACGTAATTATTGTACGTAAAGCGTACGTGACAAGTCGTAAAATTCGTGATGAACTAACCTTTTGAATTGTTAGTATTCACGTGTGACCTAATTATTAATTTTACGTGTAACATATTCGTAGTTTATTATCAGTTTTAACGAGTTATTATTGCTTAAAAGTCATTTACGGTTCGAATTTTGATGGGGTCAATACACAATACAGCATTGAAAATTATATGTAATACTTTTAACTTTTTTTTTCTATTTTTAGGACCCGTCGCTGCTTTCCTAAGTAATTACTTCAGCATAAGAAAGATTGTAATTTTTGGTGTCACCGTTGCTTCTTTAGGGGTAACGTTCTGTTATTTTGCCACGGATATCCTCACCATTATTGTCTTATTTGGTATAGTTCAAGGTAAGTAGATCCTAACTCCTATTAAGGACTCTTGAAGATCCTAACTTCTTAACTAATAGTTTGGTTTTTTATTTAGGTTTAGGTATAGGTTTAATGTTCACCCTGAATCCGGTCATACTAAACCAGTATTTTACAAAAAGAAAAGCTACAGCAATGGGAATTGCTTACGCGGGAGCATCATTAGGTTCCTTTGCTCTACCTCCAGCTGCAGAAATTCTCATTGATTATTACGGTCTTCACGGATGTTTCCTAATTTTGGGAGGTTTATCTCTTAATGCCATCGTAGGAGCAAGCTTATACAGAGCTCCTAAATTTAGTATCACAGAAAAACTTAAGGCATTGACCTCTCAGAATCACAAGGAAGAAGAACAACACGAAGAGAAGGTGAAGAGTATTGTTCCTGTTGATGCCCTCTTCGTTAGTAACAATAGAAAGATTAACGAAGACTCCACGAAAGAAGAGAATTCTTTAATGATCGAAAATAACGAAATTAATGGAAAATTATCTCAACATAATAACAATTCTATAGTTTTGAATGACAATATTGTAAGGAAAATGAGTGTGGATGCTAAACACGGTGTAACTAAAAATGCTAAATTAATAGCAGAAACTATAAGCCATCCCCTATTTATCATCTTATGCATGACCATGACCATTTACTTTTTATCTTCTCACACTTTTCTAATGGTAATTGTCGATTATTCCGTCGATAGAGGTATAACAGATAACGATTCCGTTTATCTGGTACCCATTTATTCGATTACAGATCTATTTGGAAGATTGACCATCGGTTGGTTTTCCGATTCTTCTAAGATATCGAGAAGACATGTTGTTTTGTTCGCCACCATAGGACTCGGAATTTCAATGGAAGCCATAGTATTCACATGGAATTACATATGGATGGCCGTGGTATCGGCATTCTTGGGTCTGTTTTCGGGTTGTCTAATGATCAACTATCCACCGTTAATGGCAGAAATCTTAGGTATCGACAAACTTGCCACTGCTATCGGGTTTGCCGGATTGATGATCGGATGTGTTAGTTTCACGCGACCTTTCTTAATTGGTGAGTATTATTGACGTAAATTTAAAAGAAATCGTATTTATACAATACAAGTCGACCCCTCTATAACACTGTTGATAATTCCGTTTTATATGAATTCCATGTTGTACGAGTCACTTAGATTTTACAAATACGTGTGCAGGGTTGTGACGGCTCACGTATTTGTAAAATCTAAATGACTCGTACAACATGGAGTTCATATAAAACAGAATTATCAACAGTGTTATAGGGGGGTCGACTTGTACTTTTTTAAGGTATGTTAAGGTACTAAATAGGTGTCAGAGTACAATAAGTTATGCGGTAACTTAGACAATACATTACTAACCAACAATGACGGCTAAAAAGACACTTTATTCCTTAAAAATAGAAAAATATGGCCTACTAATGACCGAGTGGATAACACTGGTCGTGGATTCCGACCTAACCACGTGGAATTTTCACTTTCGACTGGTAGAAATGAAAAAAAATCGAGTATTGTATTAGGCTCGACGTAACACATAATACCGATAAAACTAGTATTACGTAGGTGTTTCCGTGTATTACGAATCTAGATAATTTTTATCCGTTTTAATACCGCAATCACGTTTATAAACAAGGTTAAATTTTGGCTATTCTTGAAGAAACTTCATTTAATTATTTCAAGATAATTATATTTAATATTACCACGAAATTATTTCTCAATAATACTACGTGTTAATCATATAGAAAACGTGAATAAACGTATTTTAAAATAGCTTAATACTTATTATTCATATTCTGTATTTAAACAATGGTAAAAGGAGGAGACTGCAGAGGTAAGAGAGATCGTAAAGCGGGGTTTAATTATAAAATCCCGGCGTATACAGTTGTATTTATTTTTATATTTACTTTATCTATCAAATTAAAAGTAAACAAACACCAAAACAAAACTTTTTAAATGGGAAAATATGAGGAAAAAAAAAATATTTCCTCAGCTTTTTTTTCATAGAAAATTACGTGATAGTGCAACAATATAGCTATTTCATATTTATAATTTTCCCACCTGATTATCTATTCTTATTCATTATTAAAGTTTCACTTTAAATTGAATTTAAGCACCTAATATACCAAGAAAATACTCCTATAATTACGTTTTTTTTTTTTATAAATGTAGGGGATAAATATTCACAGTTAAATATGAGAGAATATGACAAATGGAAAAATATAGCATGACGTACGACGATTTCGAAAATAATGGAATTTCTATTATTACGTAAGACCAGAAAACATAAATGACGAATCGAAATCGTGATTTACGTCACACGTGTCTCGGATTGTATTATGACACGAAAATTATAACAAAGAAATTTTTTACGATTAAGTATGACTTTGCATCTTTATTTTAAGTGTAATAAATATAATATTTATATTTTCAGGATATTTTCGAGATACTTTTGGAGTGTACGATAATATGTTTCATTTTTTCGCAAACTCCTATTAAGGACTCTTGAAGATCCTAACTTCTTAACTAATAGTTTGGTTTTTTATTTAGGTTTAGGTATAGGTTTAATGTTCACCCTGAATCCGGTCATACTAAACCAGTATTTTACAAAAAGAAAAGCTACAGCAATGGGAATTGCTTACGCGGGAGCATCATTAGGTTCCTTTGCTCTACCTCCAGCTGCAGAAATTCTCATTGATTATTACGGTCTTCACGGATGTTTCCTAATTTTGGGAGGTTTATCTCTTAATGCCATCGTAGGAGCAAGCTTATACAGAGCTCCTAAATTTAGTATCACAGAAAAACTTAAGGCATTGACCTCTCAGAATCACAAGGAAGAAGAACAACACGAAGAGAAGGTGAAGAGTATTGTTCCTGTTGATGCCCTCTTCGTTAGTAACAATAGAAAGATTAACGAAGACTCCACGAAAGAAGAGAATTCTTTAATGATCGAAAATAACGAAATTAATGGAAAATTATCTCAACATAATAACAATTCTATAGTTTTGAATGACAATATTGTAAGGAAAATGAGTGTGGATGCTAAACACGGTGTAACTAAAAATGCTAAATTAATAGCAGAAACTATAAGCCATCCCCTATTTATCATCTTATGCATGACCATGACCATTTACTTTTTATCTTCTCACACTTTTCTAATGGTAATTGTCGATTATTCCGTCGATAGAGGTATAACAGATAACGATTCCGTTTATCTGGTACCCATTTATTCGATTACAGATCTATTTGGAAGATTGACCATCGGTTGGTTTTCCGATTCTTCTAAGATATCGAGAAGACATGTTGTTTTGTTCGCCACCATAGGACTCGGAATTTCAATGGAAGCCATAGTATTCACATGGAATTACATATGGATGGCCGTGGTATCGGCATTCTTGGGTCTGTTTTCGGGTTGTCTAATGATCAACTATCCACCGTTAATGGCAGAAATCTTAGGTATCGACAAACTTGCCACTGCTATCGGGTTTGCCGGATTGATGATCGGATGTGTTAGTTTCACGCGACCTTTCTTAATTGGTGAGTATTATTGACGTAAATTTAAAAGAAATCGTATTTATACAATACAAGTCGACCCCTCTATAACACTGTTGATAATTCCGTTTTATATGAATTCCATGTTGTACGAGTCACTTAGATTTTACAAATACGTGTGCAGGGTTGTGACGGCTCACGTATTTGTAAAATCTAAATGACTCGTACAACATGGAGTTCATATAAAACAGAATTATCAACAGTGTTATAGGGGGGTCGACTTGTACTTTTTTAAGGTATGTTAAGGTACTAAATAGGTGTCAGAGTACAATAAGTTATGCGGTAACTTAGACAATACATTACTAACCAACAATGACGGCTAAAAAGACACTTTATTCCTTAAAAATAGAAAAATATGGCCTACTAATGACCGAGTGGATAACACTGGTCGTGGATTCCGACCTAACCACGTGGAATTTTCACTTTCGACTGGTAGAAATGAAAAAAAATCGAGTATTGTATTAGGCTCGACGTAACACATAATACCGATAAAACTAGTATTACGTAGGTGTTTCCGTGTATTACGAATCTAGATAATTTTTATCCGTTTTAATACCGCAATCACGTTTATAAACAAGGTTAAATTTTGGCTATTCTTGAAGAAACTTCATTTAATTATTTCAAGATAATTATATTTAATATTACCACGAAATTATTTCTCAATAATACTACGTGTTAATCATATAGAAAACGTGAATAAACGTATTTTAAAATAGCTTAATACTTATTATTCATATTCTGTATTTAAACAATGGTAAAAGGAGGAGACTGCAGAGGTAAGAGAGATCGTAAAGCGGGGTTTAATTATAAAATCCCGGCGTATACAGTTGTATTTATTTTTATATTTACTTTATCTATCAAATTAAAAGTAAACAAACACCAAAACAAAACTTTTTAAATGGGAAAATATGAGGAAAAAAAAAATATTTCCTCAGCTTTTTTTTCATAGAAAATTACGTGATAGTGCAACAATATAGCTATTTCATATTTATAATTTTCCCACCTGATTATCTATTCTTATTCATTATTAAAGTTTCACTTTAAATTGAATTTAAGCACCTAATATACCAAGAAAATACTCCTATAATTACGTTTTTTTTTTTTATAAATGTAGGGGATAAATATTCACAGTTAAATATGAGAGAATATGACAAATGGAAAAATATAGCATGACGTACGACGATTTCGAAAATAATGGAATTTCTATTATTACGTAAGACCAGAAAACATAAATGACGAATCGAAATCGTGATTTACGTCACACGTGTCTCGGATTGTATTATGACACGAAAATTATAACAAAGAAATTTTTTACGATTAAGTATGACTTTGCATCTTTATTTTAAGTGTAATAAATATAATATTTATATTTTCAGGATATTTTCGAGATACTTTTGGAGTGTACGATAATATGTTTCATTTTTTCGCATCAATTCACTTTCTCTGTTCGTTATTATGGATATTACAACCCGGAACGAAATATATTTTCAAGAAATTGTCTAAGAAAACAATTTCGAATAATAAAATCGAAATTAAATTTTAATTTGTAGTGTTTGTTTTTTCCTTGTGTTAAGTTTCCTATTTCTCTCATTAGATGGCACTAGTAGGAAAAAAAGTATAAAATTACTCCTTTACGTTTATTTATTGTTTAATTTAATTAAAAAAATTAGTTATATATACGAATAAATAATGTAGTAATTTATAAATTATATTAAAAAGGGAAAACTCGATAATACTCGTATATACAGGTGGATAGTTCCGGTTGAAATCGTTCCAAAAGAACTGTGTTCAGGATTCGGATCAGTTCAAACAGTTCCAGTTCCAGTAGCTGAACTGGATTTCGACTTCTTGTTAGTAATACCTAAATAGGGGCTAGTTTTCCATAAAAAAATCTCCCACTCGATAGATCGCCCATGTGCCACGTTGCCGTATACGAATAAAACCAAAAACTAAGCCAAGAATAAAAGAAGATTGAAAATAGCATTGTAATGATGGGTCTCCAAAAGCAGTTTTACTAAGTTTAACTGCTATATTTACGTTTGGGAGGCAGGAAATCAAAGAGCAATACCACAGGAGAAACTGAATACAACAGACTGAGGAGTTGTCTGTGAGGAGGAACGTCACTTGAGAGCCACTAGATACCCGGAACGTGATGATGCCACCACTGCACATGAAATCGGTCCTGATGAAATAATTTGTCATAGTTTTAGATAAGGATTCTGCAGCCTTCAAGTACTTTTAAAACTTCTTCTCTAAACTGTCTACATAAAAAGTCAAAGCCAGTGTCTTCGTAGGACCATAGGTAAAGAAGGTTGTAGAATGTAAGGAATTTTTCAAAAAGATGGAGAAAGAGGCTTGAAACAGTTTTGTTTCCGTGGTATAGGACTTTCTGGGCAACCACAATTCCGAAGTTTATGTGAAGGTAGTTGAAACTCTGATGATAAACTACAGGAAAATGGGCTTCAGGATGTCGATGACCCTTAAAATTCATTTCCTTGATTTCCATCATGATAAATTCAAGAAGAATATCGAAAGGGCAAGGCAAACGTTTCCATTCTAGACCCATAAAAATACTCCCGGGAGACATCATCCCTTGGCAGATCATCCACGTGTCGCGTTGCATAAATAAATAAACTAACCTGAATTATATTCTCAATTTTGATTATTTAAAAAGTAAGTTACATCAACACTATCATTAACAATACAGATGTTAATTCGAAATATTTACTTATATAAAAACTAAAGCATGCATGAAAATTTCAGCCACGTTACATAGATTTTCAATTCTTAGTATTTATGTCCAACAGAAATTTTCATCGATGCACATTGAATCCAACATCAATTGTAGTTCTTGTGTAATGTAATTTTATGTAATTACGTTTACATCTTAAAAAATTAAGTAAACACAACAAAATTACAATTTCCATATGCATTTTTTAATGTATAAGAAGCCGCTGGAGAGTATCAATATTTTAGACACCATTGGGACTAAGATACTGGAACTGAAACGTTAAAACACCAAGAACACATAGAAGTTATACGTTTACATTTTTAATATATTTATTGTGCTAATTTAATTAATGATTATTTTAACTTTTAATTGATGTCTGGAAGCCATTAAAATAATCTCTGATAATTTAAGCCTTCCATTGTAAAGTACAGTTGAGAAATATTCTCTTTCACAACTCTTCGAAGGGAATCACACAGTGTTAAGTTTAGACTTCGAAGATGCAATTCTCCCTGCTATTGAAGCTATACTATAAAATAATCTTACTCATAAGAACTTTCTACACTTGTTTAATATTCCGTTCATCCATTACACCATTGAGTACACGACAAAACGACAGTACAAACGACAAAAAGATGCATGGTGCTTGAAGTTTAGCATTCTTGAGCCCTTATTATTCAGTTTGCTAAAGAATCCCTTCACAGAGGAGCTGGCAGTTAAAAATACTTTAGTTACTGATAAAATTATTAAGAATTTTTTAAATTTTATTGGCTTTCTTATACAGTTTTCTAGTTAAAGATACAAACTGGTTATATCATGGAGAAAATTATAGGGTCAACTCGAATGTATATAAATTTTCTTTTTAGGTAACAACAGTGTTTACAGCATGCAATCTCTTCCTGTTTCGTGTGGTGCTGTAATACATGCAAATAAAACTAGATATTTTGATGTCAGATACATAAGAAATGAACTTGAATTGAAAGTTTTTCCCCTGTTTTTTCACTGTAATGCTTTTAGAGATTAAAGTTAGGAATATTTATATTAATATAATTAATTATATTTGAGAAAAATGGGGTTATATATATGATGTAGATAAACAAAATTTCGGGGATGGTAATCCATAATAAACATTTTATAAATGAAATTAGTCACGTTAGAAATATGTACTGTACGTCCATAAGTCAGTTAATTGTTTTTGTTTTGTCTCCTGGATACAAGATTGATTATTAAATTAAAAATAACACGTAAAATTTATGTTTTAAATGAAATTAATAATAATTTCGATTTAAAAAAAAAAATTGCTTTTCGTGTCACCAGATGGAGACAATTAATAATAGAGAGTTATTAACACCATTGCCATCTGGTGACAAGAAATAAAATTATAAATAGAACATTATTGTATATTGACAACCGAGTTACGTGATTGGATGATTTGAATAAAACAATGTTTAATGGGTCGCCATTTTGGATATTTAATGTTTAAATAATGTAATGAGAAGTTTGCTTCGTACAAAAGAGAAATAAGAACGAAAATGAATCTTTATGTTGAGATTAAATGAAACGATGCAGAGATACAAGGATTCATATTTTTAAAATATATTTTATAATGCTCTCAATGTTGAATGATGTCTTCAATGACGACTATTTCTCTTGAATTCTGACCTTAATGACAGCGATTGTTCGTGTTTATTCTTCTCTATTTCCTTCTGGGCGACGGATATTCGGTCAAAGGGCAAATTTCGTAACGGTTGGAGCGATGGGACTAGATTAGGACTAGTCGACTGAACAGTAAAGGATGACCATTCAAACTGGACATTGTAAATAGGAGAGAGACCGCGAGTCTCCTCCATGGGCAGATCTAGTCGACCAAGTTGATCATTTTATTGTTTTTTTATACCTTTCCATGTTTTGATTCATATTCGCTGGGTCCCACAAAGCTATGACGCGCCACTCAGCCAGGAATGAATCATTGAGCGGGAGCAACATTGATAAATGAAGACAAGCCGAAAAATTTGTGTAGGCCTGTACACAAACCTGGTATTAGTATTAGTGCTGTTAGACTGGATTGGTTGCAAAAATGATCCTAGATTGAAAAAAAATAATATGATTCTCTTACGGTATTTCATCACTCACTATAATATGAGTGATCAATTATGATAAGGGTGTCTCCCGGTAGGATTTTCTATGAAAAACTAGCTGCTGTTTAGGTGTTAAAAGAAATCTCTGAATGCTTTCACGCGACTAGGCCATTGATTGGGCACGAACCCGTGACCAGCTACAGTACCTGTGTTTTGGTGGTTATATCTTAATGGAAAAACACTTGTCTTTTATTTGATTTTGCAAGTGTCCGTTAAGGAAAGGTTTCGATGTATCTACAATAATAAAAATAATAATTAATACTTAGCAGGGTATTGTCATACTTTGCTGACAATTCTAAGTGATAGTAGGTGTCCTGTATATAATGTATGTATGTATCTATATAAATATAAAATTCTCAGCAATAATTGACATATTTCTTGCAAAACTTTACAACAAGATCTTACAAGTAAGTTTTCTATTCTTAATTTCTCATCATTCAATTTATAGAAATTAGCCTACATTTTTAACAACTTTGCGTCATCGTTTTTTAGACTATTCTATGGTTAAATTAGAATATTTGAGGTAAAGAAAATTATAGTAACAATATACAATTAATTTCTCAGCTACATAAGAAGCAAAATTGAAGTTTTCTAACACTTCACGTAACCGTGGCCATTTTTAACGCATTGTCATATTGTGGGCCTCCTCTTTTTATTTTATGCCACTGAAGAAATCGGGCGAGTACTATAAAAGCGCTTTAAATGGCTCTGTTATTATAATATATCTTGAAGAGTGGTTGGTGATTGGAGAACTCCACTGTCTGTAGTCCTTATCTCCTCTTTTCAATACTCATTCTCCTCTGCCATCTTTCTCCCCATCTCTTTTTTCCTTCTTTTCCTAATTTGTTATTGAACTCCATTCATAAAACATGACTTAATCGTATTAAATAGTAAGTTCCTATTAATACCACAGTATATGAAATGAGAACTTGTTATCCCACTCCTCTTTTGGCAAATTCTTCAAAGATCTTGGGCTTCATCATCGTGTCCACACCTTCAAAGAACTTAAGGCTTTGAGTTCAGTAGTTCATGTAGATGATCACTCTGTTGAGCAGAGAAATCTACAACGTTCATGGGTAATCTCATAGTGAAGACCTCTAGTCATCACAGTGATTGGTTTATTTCTTTACGGCAAAGAGACATGTAGGCAATCTGCCAAAGAAGGATGCTTCCTGGAAAGATTTTCTAAGGGAAGCTGGCCCTGTTTAGATATGAAACACGTGAAGAAAGCTTCACGTGGTCAGCCTTTCGTGAGGCACGAACCCACGATCAGTGTTCAGTGGTTTTATCTACTCGGTCACTGGTGGGCTCATTAGTGAGATCATCTACATTTTCCAAGTGTTAATACGTATGTTTCAAGTGTTAGCTTAGCTGTGCTAATAATTAATAAAATCCACTTTTTTTTATGGATCTTAATGCCTTAAATCAATTTGCATTCTAAACTCCTCTGATAAAATCCTTTGTACCTTTATACTTCTTGTCTTACAGCACTCCATTGTCATTATAACTATCATTACTACTACAATTTTAATTAACGCTTGGTTACTACTCAAAATAAATTTTACACGTTCACTATTCAAGGATCTCTGACCCTCCCATAAAAACAATGTTTATTTTGTGTACGAATAGCAATATAGAAATAAAACACACTATTTATGAAAAAAAGATATATTTAGTAATGGAATGACACACAATTACTTGTTATCTAAACAATTTGGACATACAATTATTGAGCAAGTGTTGCAAATTGGAATTTTACAAGATGAACAAACACTGTTCATTTTTCGATCTTTTTTATAGGGGCAAATGCTGCAATGCTGCTTTCTTTAAGATGCAACATTAGAGACAGCTGGAACAGATCTTTCAAGCAGCGGCAGTTTGAACACCCTTGATATTATCATACGCAATTGCCGGAGTATCTTTTCATTGTAAATTTGCTGTCGAGCGTATGGTATACAAAACTCTATGCCAAGCCTGCGAAGGTAGTTAGGTCGATTTACTGACTTTCCAGTGACTGCATCATATATAATTTTACTATTTACGCCCGTAATATTAACCATTGCGTAAAATAACACCATCGGCCACCGTCGAGTGGCCCTGGCAACTGAGAAATTGGCACACTTTTGGTTCAAGGCGTCAACACCGACTTTTGTCTTGAAGTATCAATATTTTTAGAGGCAGGTGGATTTGGGGTGGGGGAAATCTCTTCGTCTATCTCTTCTTCAATATCAGTCGAACTGTCGTGATTACTAAATATTTCTTCATTGCTAGAATCGATATCATTGCAGTCAGCATCATTTAGTATATGAGACAAAGCGTTTTCTCTGTTATCAGCAGTAAAAGGCAAAGACGATGAAGCAGAGGTAGAAGCATCTGAATTTGCGGAAATATCCTCCTCTTCAAAATCATCATCGTCAAGCAAAGCATTCCCAATCTCTTCATTCGTAAGCATATTTCTATTACCCATACCTGCGGTAAACACAAACCCATAATGAAAAAAAACAAAGAAAAGTACGGTAAAAACCTGTTATAATGGCGTAAAACCACGAGTAGTAACCAAGGTAATAAACTTTAATTAAAAAGTAATAATCAATATTTCAATTAAAAGTTTGTTTAATTAAGTTTCTTTGTGACGAAAATTTCATAAAAAATTATACACAATACAATTGTTAACATTAAGAAATATTAAAATAACATTATTAAAATTCGAAAAAAAATTTTTTTATTAAAAACATTATTAATTTTATTTAAAATAATATTCAAAGCAAAATTTAATTAATAATTAAAAAATCTAAAGAATATCTTTAAATATTCTTCATTGTTTTCTCTCAGCTTCCCATTAATGTTAGTTGCATTATATAATCAATAAAATAAATTAATAATCATATAAATTGGTATAAAGGTCTCAAAAATAGTTAATTAATTATGAAATATTCGTGAATATTACAGAATTTTCCACGAAATTTTAACGGTTAGCATACTTTAATTCGTGTATTACCTAAAAGCTCCTGAATGAAGCTCACTGAAGGATCCGGGATGAAAAGCTCACTGAAGGATCCGGGTTCGAGTTCGGATCGGAAATTTCATTGGTGGTTTGTCCACTAATTATATTTCTCCACGTGTAAATACTTTAAAATAGATTTACAACCTTTCTCTTAACATGTATCAAAAGGTAAGGTGATGACTGATGTAAGTCCTGACCACTACAGACTGTGTGATGACGGATCTCTCAGCACGTGTCTTCTTTATCCTCCCTCTGTAGCAAGCCATGCTTATACAATAACAATATGGGGTAAGATAAATACACAAATTACTTAAGATATATTCCTAAACCTAACCTATTTCACAACATAATATTCTATATAATTTATATTAATTTCACGGGAGAGTCTGTTTGTCTGCCCTATTAACTCTTCGAAAATATTATAACACAGTTAATTATTGAGAAATACAATTGCTTATCCTTTCACAAATGTCACCAGATGATGTAAATAATATATTCTTCCGATCCAAATTTCAAAAATTACTTTATTACGTTCCCATTATACATATTTTAAAATTACTTACAAATGTATTAGTACGTTCGACTCATTAACAGAAGAATCTAAGCAGAAGATTGGAAAATGTAAGTGTAAATTGATTAGGGGTGCTCGTATCTAATTGTTTTATCAATACACTAGATTTTTCTGTCTCTGTATGTAGTCAGGTCATTGATGAGGTTGATCTAGGTCTTCCTATCTGTCTGCAACACGTTAATATCCAGCTTTAATAATGTCAAAGTGACAATGATCCTCTTTCACAGGGGTTGAGAGGTTTGTCAAGGTGGCAACTGATTATTCAGCACACAACTTGTTACTGTTGTCTAGGTGTGTTGACATGTTTACGTCAGCAACTTCCTTACAGCTGGCAAAAAGTCAAGGCGACATGCAGACTACACTGAATACTCCATTGGATATTTAAAACACTTGAAATTGAATTAGTTTTATGAGTCACGTTCTTAAAAAAGTTTTATTTCGTTAAGAATATTTTATAGAAAATTATTTGGTAAATTTGTAGGTATAACACGTTCTGAAAACAATGTTTTTTTATGGAAGAAATATTATAAATTCAGCATTAAAAGTAGGAAAAAAAGTATGTGACAAGGGGTACACTTTGATGTTTAATAACTCCCGTGTCTTTTGACGAAAATTTCTGAAATTTTGTAGGGAGGTTTGTATATTAGAGAGGTTGATTTTATTAAATTTTGGTGGTTAAAGATCAAGATGATGGGGAGATATCGTAACTAGAGTGGGGTCGGATTTAATAAAGATTTTACTCGTTATTAGCATTTAGAAATGTTTATAAAATTCGTCTGTATCGTCTCAAAATTAAGCTTTTTGTCATTTTATAATAATTATTAATATAAAAAATCTGTAAAATAAAATACCTTTTAACTTTTTTGCTGGATTTTCTAAATATTAACATACAGAAAGTGACTAAGTAAAGGTGATTTAAAGCTCTTCTCTGAGTTACTCTCTTACTTTATTTTCTACTCGAGATGTGCTTTAAAAAGTTTTATTTTCCATTTCCTTCATTTTTAAATTTATTTTCCAATTTTTTGACGATTTTATTCTGTAAGTAAGCATTTAATACCCAGCGACGAACACGAGCACTTCATATTGGCGCCACGAAGTATCAAATCGACCATTAATGTGTCTTTTAATTGACGTCAGAGGAAGTGGTCATTTCCGCTTTCGTTTAAAAAACATCAAAAACACATAAAAATATTTATTTAACACGAAAAATTAATATTTTTACAGTAATTACGTGCTCAAATAAAAAAAAATGGTTTTCTTGTAAACACTAGCTCCCTGTTACGCGTGAATGGCTTCTAGATTCAGACGAAAATGATTGCTTATAGACGGAAGTGACGTCAGTATAATTTTGGGGTGAATATCTCGTGAAGGATTACGGACTTTTCGTCCTTCATTCATCTTAGAAATGACAGAAGATGAGTCACGCCGCCTTAGCTTACGTAACAATACCGCAGCAACGGATTTGTGTGACGTCAAGTACGCTCCCGTGTTGTGATTTACGCGCTAAAAAAATATTCAAATTTTATTTCCAGATTTAAAAAAAAAAGATAATAATAATAATAATAAATTAATATAAATAAGTAAATAGAACGAAATTGCTAAACATTACCATTTATATTTCATAACGTGCTACAAATTTCCGTTATTGCTTCTATATTTATTGAGAAATAATTTTAATTTAATAAATAAATAATCGAATTAAATAGTTAATTAATCATCAAAAATAAGAATTCATAATTAATTTTTATATTAATGAATTGTTAGTATTCGAGGCCTCATCCTCCTCCCTCCCCTCGCAAACAACCCTCCTGACAAAGAATTTTGATCTTGTAATGAAGGCCATGCTCTGGGGGCCTTCACCAGGGCCTCCTTAGATCGTTGACCTTTGACACGTGTCCTTCCTATTCCCCTGTCAGATGTGTTTAATCATCATTCTTTATTATTAAATTAATTATGAATTATAATACATTATCCATCTTATTATTAGAATAATATAATAAAAAATATATTATGTAAATGTTCATAAGGAAAAATTTTATGGAAATTAATAGTTAAATTTTCGATTTATCATATTTTATTAACTTTAATAGAAGAATTGTCATTAATTAAAAAACACACATGTTTAACGAAGTACATCTGACAAAAAAATTAATATTTACTTTAAAAAGTAAATTTCCTGCTTTTAAAATTGAGTAAGAGTTCTTTGAATGTCTGTATTTATTTTTCTTTCCTGTTTTTTTATAAATTTATTCATTGAAAAAGATGAGCAGAATGTAAATATGGAGAAATATATAGCTACAAAATAGTATTTTATTAAGCTTTTTATGTATATATTTATGTTAAAAATAGTGTATAAAGATGTTATTATATGTTATTTACGTGTTTCATACGAGAAAATTAAGAAAAAACTTAATAAATTTTGAATATTTTATAAGAAATTAAACTGTAAGTTGGCTTCTCCGCGCGACACCATTGTCTTGCAGTGTTAGTTGCATTATATAATCAATAAAATAAATTAATAATCATATAAATTGGTATAAAGGTCTCAAAAATAGTTAATTAATTATGAAATATTCGTGAATATTACAGAATTTTCCACGAAATTTTAACGGTTAGCATACTTTAATTCGTGTATTACCTAAAAGCTCCTGAATGAAGCTCACTGAAGGATCCGGGATGAAAAGCTNCACAACTTACTTCGTTACATCATCATCTATACGAAGATAATTGCGAGAGGAGAATCGAGTCAGGTGACTAAACCAAGCACGGTATTAATAGGCACTGGATACCCTCCGAGGGCGACACCATCTGGCAACAGCGGGTGGCTGCACCAACAATGGCCGACGCTCGTAGAAGTGCAGTGAAGAATATAGACGGAGGATGGGCTTGGGTGGTTGCTTTTTCGTGTTTTATATCCACTTTTACAGTTATGGGACTATTTAGATCGGCTGGAGTCATGTATGTGGCTCTTGTAGAGGCTCTAGACATCACTAGAGAAATGGCTGCCTGGCCACTTAGTTTGTGTGGCTCCGTTATGTTGCTAGTAGGTAAGTATATAGGTTATCTAATCGTTAGCATACGTTATAGGGGCCTTATTAGGTATTATAATACCCCAGGTTACCTCTATGTATATTATATATACGTATTAGTACGTAAAGAAAACGTTAAACAACAGGTAGCCGGTGTTAAAAATAGGAGAGAGAGGTTACTTATTGTCATTTAATTTAACTGTGACTATTAATAAGTAGGGTGCAACGAACTAACGTTAATTTGGTAATATTTCAAAGGACGATACTTCATAATTATCGTTGTTATAAATAAAGATATTGATCAGGTGTATTGTTAAATTGATACAGCTTACGTGTTTGATATATAGCTGTATCTACAGGTACAGTTTGTAGTCAAGGAAACGGATTCTAAATGTGTTTCGTGAATGTAACTAATGCCACTTAATTGAGGAAAGAACATGTTTTAAGAAAGAATTTGTAAAGATTAAAACAATTAAGTGTAGGGCCTGTAAGTGTAGTGTACAAGAGCTAAGAAACTTTGTAGTATTTTAGCTCATGTACACTGTACCCCTCTAAAATTACAATATAGAAATACAGATTTTTACATGGAAAATAATTTAATTTATCTTTACAAATGTCATCATAAACAATAATTAATATAAGTAGTTGATTTAAGAGAATATTTTTTTCCCCCTGTATTTAAATATAACAATAGTAAATTTAAATTCGAATTTAAATGTAAGGATGTGTTTAAGAAAGACAATACATCGCGTAACAAGATAATAAATTTATTATTATTACTATTATTGTATTAATAATTTCTCCTCCTTATCTTTTGTCAGGTCCCATTGTTGGTATGTTAACACATTATTTTTCTATTCGAGTGTTAATGATAATAGGTACATTATTAACCTCGTTGGGTGTTAGTCTTTGTTATATTCCATTAAACTTAACAGCGATTGTAATATTTTTGGGAGCGATTTACGGTGAGTAGAAGAAGTTTAATTTATGTAATTTATAAACAGAAATTTCGCTTTTTTAACATCTTTTCTTATTTACAGGTATTGGTATCGGATTCGTATTAATCACAAGCCCCGTTATAATCAATCAATACTTTCTCCGTTACAGGACAATAGCTATAGGAATAACGTTTTCTGGTGCATCAGCGGGATCGATCGCTCTACCACCCCTCATAGAATATTTACTAGAAACTTACGGATTGAGGGGATGTTTTCTACTTTTAGGAGGAGTGCTTTTACACGGGGTAGCGGCAGCGTCATTATGTCGCCCTCCTAATACGTCCAAGAAGGCCCACGAAGAACAGGAGTTAACGTTTGAGTTACGCACCAACAACAACAACGAAATTAACTTTAAAAAACCAAAGAAACAAAATGCATTCCGTCAATATATTTCCTTAGTTATCGAGCTTTTATGTGATCCTATGTACCAAATTATTAACTTTTGTTTTGGTATATTTTTCATCTGTTTCACCTTGTATATAACTATTTTAGTGGACTTTGCTATGGATCGATCCATAGCACAGAACAAAGCAGTTTTTATTATATCAGTTTATTCGATTAGTGATCTGTTTGGAAGAATCTTTTCGGGATGGATAATCGACTTTAAGATTATAAGAAGGAAAACTGTTATCATAGTTAGTTTCATCTCTTCTGGTATATTATTAATTACTATACCTTTCGGGAATAATTATGCAGCAATATTAGCTTTAATATCTGTTCTAGGATTGCTTTGTGGATCCATTATGGTCAATTTTACAGTCTTGCTAACGGAATATTTGGGACTTTCAAAAGTCACCACGGCTCTTGGATTATCAAATTTTTTGTACGGGATCCTGGGACTATTCAGACCAATGATTATTGGTAAGTATAGTTGAACTTATAAACCGATAAAATATAGCATTTATAGGTCTTAAATATTATAAAATGTACATCTTTACGATCGTTTCGTTAATATAACATCATACAATATTTAAGACCTCTTATATCTTCCCACTCCGACGACCTTTAACCACCAAAATTTAATAGCACCAACATTTCTAATACACGCACTTACATACAAAATTTCATAAATTTTGAACGATAAACACGGGAGTTATTAAGCTTCAAAGTAAAGAAAAACGTATAAGATCACCATTTAACAGCTGTAGATCATTATAAATAAATTTAAATCTATAAAATTAGTTTATCAATTAACAACTACTTACTGAATGTTTTCAATTAAATTTTTTAAATAATTACAAGACTTTTACTTGAGTTCCTACACAGAAATTGAATAATTGAAGCGAAAATAAGTATTAAATTTCAGTAATTTAAGAAACCGAATCGAATATATTCCCATTTTTAGGAGCGTGTCAAGTAGAAATTTAAGCACGTCTCAGAGAACAAAGAAATTGTTGAAATTACTTTAAAAAAAACAGAAAAAATAGTATATTTATTATTGGAAAAATTCGTTGTTTTATTTACCGATTCGTTGTCACGCTTCGTAATTGAAAATGCAACACGTGTTGCATCTGTTAAGTGATTTGCACTAATTTTTGTTTATTTAAACAGGACAAAGAAATGATTTAACGATAGTTAAAACACGTGTCGATGATGCTAACTTGTATATTATTATTCTCTCTTACAATATAGGTCATTATAGAGATACATTAGGAAGTTACGATTATTTGTTTTATACATTGGGAGGTATGCACGTCATCGCTGGTGTAACGTGGTTTATAGAACCGTTATTAAAGCGCTGTAAAGAGAAGAAAGAGAACGAAAATGCCGACGACCAATATATATAATGCTGCTATATTCAGCTTGTACCAAGAATATATTTTACTGTATTTACAGTAGTCTTTTTTTTAAATTCTATCTGTCATATTTGACAGCTGTTATATCGTTTACAGTTGCTTACAACGTGAGATGAATGAGCGAAAGTATTATTCTATGAATATTTAAATCCTTGAAGACTCGAGAGCATCTGGAAGAGGATAAACAAATGATAACATCATTCTTCTCTGATTAATGAACAATTAAATATAGACTAAAAGGGAAGAATTTATAATTTTTAGCCTTACATTTTGCACAAATGGCTTCAATTTTTCTATTGTAATTAACAATATAGAATATAGAATGACAATTAGTGACCTGTAACTAAATCTAATTGTAATTTAATTGGCAGATGTTCTTTTATTTAGACACGTTTAATTTTCAAATTGGGTTCCATCACTTTAAATTTAGTCTTTTTATGGGATAAAAAAAATATAAAAATGACTCATTAAATTCGCTCCTTCACCTTAAAAAAACTGTAATGAATTCTTATTCTATATTAATTTATATAAAAATTTATTTTTCTATTGAATTATTAGCATTAGAAAAGAATGTAAAACTTTTTATATTTTAATATGATTTTTTTTTATCTGTAAAATAAATATAGAAAAATTGTCAATATATTTTTATATGTATTCGCATGTATTTATATATATATTTACATATATTTTTTTAAAACGTCATTCTTATATATATTTTGAATAAAATATTTAAAAATTTCATTTATAAATTCGCAGATTTCTATTCTAAAATAGTCGTAAACCATTTACATATTTAATCAATATAAACGTTTTATAAGTAATTATATAAATACATTGAAATATATACATTAACTTTGTTATAACTTAACCTAATTGGCTCCATCCTAATTAAACACCAATCGTGAATGGCTTTCTTCGTAAATATTAAAGGACCCAATAGGATCTGTGGCTTACTAAACGTACGATTTCGCATTGTAAACGGGCCCACCAATGGCCGAGTAGATAAATCTATTGGACCAATGATAGTTGGGTATTCGACCTCGCTAACTAATACAAATAATTTATATTGTTGGCGAGAGATTTATGTAAATATATCCAACCTTTTTAACCTAACTCTATGATTAATATACAAGATTAAGTGTTATTCATCTGTCGCCATCTGTTGGTACTATATAGAATCGTTTTAAATTAAAGTTTTATAAATATTTAACTTTCGGCTTTGGCATTCGATGTGCCACTAAATTGAACCTAATCGCTTAAGACTGGTCCTACGTGTTTACTAATTATCTTCGTGTTCGGTAGAATTATCTTTGTTCAGTTATACAAGTGTACAAAGATGGCTGCGCCCATATACTACATGTGTTCAATTAGAACTGTTGAATATGCTGAACGCGACCTATGATTGGTTTATTCTACGTCACGTGGTTTTTGGACGCCATTTTAGTACCCGCATTCAGTACATGAGCGAATTTTATAAAGAAAGAAACTAAATATGGAGACGAATTTGGTTTGGTACTATAGACTGCGGTCCGGATTCACAAAACACTCTTATCGTAACTTACGACAAAAATTCTCGTAAGATACGTTGTATTTACAAAACAACTTGTAATTTGCGATGTTGTAATTAGAATGTTTCATAGAAATATAAAGCTCTTACTTTTCCTGGTGTTATACAGCCTACAACAGAGGGAAAGTATGGAGATCGGTCAAGAAATGACCCCCAAGAATTTTACATTTTTGGAATCAGGGGACCTTGAAACGTCGATAAATGCAAAAAATTTCAGGGGTATTTTCTGTATGTAGTGTGCACGAAGGACACGATTTTGTTTGCCCTCTTTGAAGCTTAATAACTCCTGTACATTTTGTCGAAATTTTCTGAAATTTTGCAGGGAGGTTTGTTTATTAGGAGGATTGATGTTATTAAAGTTTGGTTATTAAAGGTTGAAGGGGTGGGGAGATAAAGGGGGTCGTGTCATATCTCGAGTCATATCCCCTCACACGTTATTAACATATACAATTTTTTTATAAAACCCATTCCTACTTTCAAAACTAAGTTTTTTTTCTGCTATTTTATAATAATTAAAAATATAAAGTATTTAATAATAGTAAAATATCGTAACAGATGGCGGTAACAGATTGACACCAAACGTTGCCGGAAAAGTTAAGCAACTCGTTTTTGGAATTTTTTTTAATGAACAGTGCATTATATTTTAGAAATACAACATAAAAGTACTTTTATAAATCAATCAAATAAGAAGTAACTTGTTTAGATTATTGTTTTATTTTCCAAGTTAAAGTTTTACTTATGTTACTGAGTGTTAAAAAATATATTAAATTTATAATTCCTTTTATTTCTAAAGAAAATTAGCAGTATTATTACATTATAAATGCTTCTATACATGCCATTAAATACTTAATTTGAAATGCATTTTGCGAAGGGTAGCTCATACAGGTATGGTTCCTTTGTCTTTTTTGTTCCTATCAGTACGATCTACAGCTCTGTTAAGGTCCCAACCGTCTCATTCAGAGCTTGAATTGTACCATGGATTGAAAACGTAGATTAAGACTTTATGGTAAAGAAATACGCTCAAAAGGAGTACAGTAGACTCCCCTGTAACACCGTTGATAATTCCGTGTTATATGAACTCCATGTTGTACGAGTCACTTAGATTTTACAAACACGTGTGCCGGGTTGTGAACGGCTCACGTATTTGTAAAATCTAAGTGACTCGTACAACATGGAATTCATATAACACGGAATTATCAACAGTGTTATAGGGGGGGTATTAATGTTAAATTGCGATATAATAAATTAATTATGGCCTGTAATTATATAAGTGAAATTTTTCAAACGGATAACGAACAACCTTTTTTTAGTGATTAATAACTTTTAATTAATAATAAACAAGATGATGAAATTAAGGAGAATTATAACCAACATAATGTTTTATACTCGGACAATGGCGATAACGCATAACTTCTTTTCTACAATATAGCAGGACTAAATAATAAATATTGCTTTCTTAACTTATGGAATTTAATATATAAGATGGATATATTCTTTAGATACAGTTTCTCAATTTGAAATTTAACCTCTTTAACCTTGGCTTTTGACACCAATTAACAGTGTTACTACATCAAGTGAAGAACAATACAATAAAAGTCACTCTCAAACAGGAGGCATTATTGAAAAATGGTTTGGTATATTGAAATGAAGATTTCATTTGTCTAGATAGATCAGGTGGTGCATTACATTACTTATCTGATAGATGCTGCAACTGTTTTACATAATTTATGTTTAATAAATAATCTTGAATGTAATTATACTTTTACAGATGATATCACGTAAATGAACTTCATGATAATGTAAGTGCTTGTTCTTTTATTTAGGACGTCTTGAACATTTGGACGTCTTTTATTTTCAGACATTATGCCTAACGATTTCTACTTCTTAAATTACGCTCCGAATGTGTTGTTTGCAAAATGCAGAAAGCCTATCGACGACTCTAAATCGGAAGTTGTCAAAATGTCATCCAACACATTCTTGATACCGGATACTTCAAAATTGTCGTAACCGGAGATCGTAGATTTCTCGTAAGTTTACGACATCGAAATAATACTAGGTCGTATCTTACGAGCTGTTTTAAATTGCCGTAATGTTTATATCTTCACGGTCTCAATTGATTTAAAACTACTTAATAATATAGTTTTACTAAATTTCCAATTAATTTCAACATAGAATTGTCTTAATATTTCGAAAATACATGGTATATTGAAATAATATTTAATATGGTCGTGTTCTTAATTTGTTCGCTTATCGAAGTCAATGAAATTTCTTAAGAAATCTTATACAAATTCTGAATATAATACATTTAATATACAGTACTGTCATTAGAGTATGTCACTCGCCAGTCTGAAATGTCCGACACTCGCCAGTCCGATATATGTCGGATTACAGAGACTACTGTATTTTGAATGTTTTTAAAGATAACTTCTATCAAATTTATTTACAATTTTTTTTAATTCAGTTCTGTTCGTTTCTGTTGTCGATGTCGTTTCTCTTGCGTAATCTTTGTACCAGAGGTTCCATCGTCCACAGAAGTGCAGAAACAAAGAAAAGGGAAGCTAAGAAATAAAATAGATAATCGTAGCTTCCAAAATAATCCCTGAAGTATCCTGTAATAGAAACACAATTAGAATTCTATGTACTGTACAGTGTGCCAGACTAACGAAGTGCTGGGGTACTGGCAGCGTGGACAAAGACTTTTTGATTAAGAAGAGTTCTAATATTTCTGATCGAAGTACCCATATTGATTTAGGCACGTAAGTACAGTCGACCCCCCTATAACGTGCGTTCCTATAACGACAATTCCTATAACGTAGCGAAAAAATTATAACAACATTCGTATAAAGCATCTCCTAAAATGTCTTCGCCCACTCGTTTCGCGACAAGATTGATAGAGTCTGGACCAATAGTGGATGAGCAGCCGAACTACTTTCCTCCGACTCTGCGCCACGCTATGGAGCGGCTAAATTGAGTTGGTATCGTCTGTATAGTATTATACAGGGGCGTGCCGTGACATTTGACTATAGGGAAGCTGTGTTTCTATAAGAAGCCGACATCCAGGGGCAATCAGTCAATTGCGCGTCAGTGATGGTCTAGGGTCCATTCGTATCGTTTATTCGATAAGCCAGTAAAAACCGTAGACTTCTCTAAATGCATTTTTAATATCACAATTACATTCCGAATCGCTAGCCACGATATAAGGGCTACAATTAAAAATAAAATAATAAAAACTTACTCGGTGAAATAAAATATGTGGTAGATGTACCGGTACATACAAAATATTCTTCAATTATATGAATATACTTTAAAGAAAATTATAATTAAATATAGCTTTGCAAAGAAACGTACATAAAAATATAAAATATTCTTTACTTTTTAAATNAAATTATTTATCAGAAATCGCGGCCGCCGTTTCGTGTGCTGTTCCGCGACGAAGACAAGCTTTGAGCAACGGCGTAGTCGAACGGTACACACTCGGTAAGTAATCCTATAATTTTTTGTTTATAGCATAGTTTATACAGATTATTCCCAAAAAATTATACGTGTTTTGGAAATGTTGAGTGGAATTAGTCTAGAATCGGTTAATTTTATATAAGAAAACCTTTTAAACAGCCTTAGTCCGCAAAGTTCACACCTATCGGGCTGCGATAGGCTCATGTATTTAATCATTCCTACAACGTAAAATTCGATTAGCGTGGAACGTATCTAAGCGTTATAGGGGGGTCTACTGTAATACAAAATGTTCTTTTCGTTTAAATTTTCTGTTGAGAAAGCTTCTCCGTTAGAAAAAAAAATTCAAATCATATTCACATTGGTTCAATAGCCATTTTGTATTTTGCATACTTTCTACCAAATTCTACTACAAAATTCAATAGAAAATATTCAAAAATACATTACAGATAATAATAAAATTTTATTCAATTTATAACACTAATTATTCACGATGGAAAACTTTTTTTTTATTAGCATAAATGTTAAATTACGTGAATGGTTTAAAAGAAAACTTACCTGATATCGGTGCAGCAAAAATTAACTGTGATAATCCAATTAGAAAACTATTCAAACCGACCGCTGTAGGTAATTTTTTCACACCAAGATATTCGGACAATAGAATCACCTGGTGGATCATGACACAGCCTCCGACAAATCCGATAAGGGACGTCACAACCATCAGACAAGAATAATTCCATAGATGAGGAAGTATACAGAGTAGAATGGCTAATGAAGTAAAATATATAATGACAGCGTTTATTCTTTTAACAAATCCAAAATCTACAAGCCAACCCGAGCCCAACCGTCCAAACATATCTGCAATGGAATACGCTGAAGATAGAAATACACAAAAATTCATACTTATACCTCTTTCGACTCCAAACCTTACGATAACTGTTTCGAAAACATTAAAAAACAAACGTAATATTGCAAAAGTAAACGATACGATCAAAAATATGGGATCTTTAGCAATTTCTATGGCAGTTTTTAACGTTTTCCATTCGTTTTTAACGTTTTCAACTTGTTCCTTTTCACCTTTCTGAATTTCTAAGATTCTTGGTTGACGATATAAACAAGCTGCGACTGTTCCATGCAATAAGACTCCTCCTAACAATAAGAAACTTCCTTTTAAACCGTAAACTGATATTAAATATTCCGTCAGAAGTGGAAGAACGAAACCACCAATTGTTGCACCGGTTTTAAAAATTCCCATTGCTGTTGTTTTGTACTTTTTGAAATTCATGTCGACTATAATCCAACTTAAATTGTAAATGGCACCATTACCTATACCTAAATAAATTGTTACATTCAAGTACAAACTGAAATGTAAATTGTTATTGGTATTAATTAAATAATATCCATTATTTACCATTTATTATTCCTAAGAAAATAATTAGCGATATGAAATGAGACGAGAAATAGCAAAGAGTACAACCCAATGCAGTAAAAATAGTTCCACTGATGACTAATATTCTTATACTTAGATATTGCATCAGATACGAAAAGATAGGTCCTGAAAGTTAACAAAATACTGTATAATTAAAATAGATTTATCAAAATTCAATTGTATATGTCATAGAATATTTTATAAATGCAATGTTTAATGTCGAGAGTTTCTGCTTATTAATTTAACAATGTATTTTGAAAATCATTGATATAAAATTACCTGATAAATTCATCAAAGCTTGTATTAAACTAAGCGGCCATGCTGACTGTACTCTATCCAATCCCAGCGTACTGGTAAAATGAACGTAGAAAACACCTTTCGTTTTCGTAAATCCGCCAGAGGTAATGCCAGTGAAGAGGGCTGCACCAACAACTACCCAAGCCCAACCTCTATCTCTCTCGTCTATTATTTTATTTTCCATAACAGAATATTTTATTTAATATATTACAAATTAATATTCAGTTAGGAAAATCCTACTGTATCACTCCTTAGATGATCCAGAGACGGCTTCTGTCGTAAGAATAAATTTCATTTTATGTAACCGTCCGTGTAGCTGTATCAAAAAACACTTAAACGATTACACAAGTTTAATGTACTATATAAATTGATGACGAAACAAAATTAAAATAAAGATGAATTTTATATTAATTTCTTAACAACTAACAAAAATAGTACGGTAATTTTTTAAAGATTTTAGTCTGTTATGACAATCCTTTGATCTTATAATATAATCTGAAAAATTATATTATTAACGTAAAGAAAACCCAGAAAACTCTACGTGGTCAGATCGTCGATCTCGTGAACTTTGACCTATCGACTCGAAGTTTCTCCAGCACTTTACTGATAACGAGGGAGGGCATAAGTTTAATGGCACAGCACTACTAAATTCCGAGTGATGGTAATTAATGTGCCCGTATTCTAAATGCATCCAATCTGGTATAATGACATTTGAGGACATGCCAAAGACATTTTTATTTTTATATTTTTAATTATTTTATAATAATTAAAAATATAAAAATTTTTAATAATAAAATATCGTAACAGATGACGCTACAAACACAGTCTTAAATGTTGCCAGGAAAGTTAAGCAACTGATTTGAGGCATTGAATTTGCATGTGTCATATGTCATAAGATGATTTAAATGATTTAAATCATCTTATGACTTTTTGCTTATGACTATTTGCTGTGATTTAAATGATAGAAATTATTTTCTGACAGTCTAGATTGAAGCTGTTTTACGTATGTTTTTTTGCATTGAGAATGTTGCAATACTTAAATTATTCTAACAGCAAATACTGTGCATCCTCGTATCATGATCCGTGCATTCTTCATTGTTACATTGAGACATCAAATCTTATTCTATTTTAGTGGTGGATTAAAGTATTGCAGTCTGCCAAGTATTGATATTTTTGTTTTGTCACTCCAGACTGGCAGAAAACGCCGCCAATAAGACTATTTTTAGTTGGCCGACTGATTAATCGGCCAATCGTCATTACACACTAATTATCAGGGACCTATCTAGTAATTATGCTGCCCTTTTAAGTGTAGGCATAGCGAAATTTTAACCGAGAGAACTGGAGGATTTTTAATTACAGATAATCGATTATTTTACTTTTTGAAAATAATTACGTAATTAAATGTGTGAGGTCCGAGACCTCACACATTTAATTACGTAATTATTTTCAAAAAGTAAAATAATCGATTATCTGTAATTAAAAATGTTTCATTGTTATTATCTTCGGCCAATTTTTCTGCCCTTAGCAAGAAGAAAAATAAACTGCGTTCAGAGGATTTAGTCACTTGATCACTGGTGGGTTATCTGAGGAGAAAGAGTCTAGGATGTAAGATCAACAATTCTTTAGCAAAAATATTAGCGGATATACAGTAATACTATGTTCGCACAAATCCACGACTCACTTCGATCTCGATTTACTTACAATCTGGATTGTGACTGTCGCTAGTCGAAAGCCAACAACAACAACAAACACCAACAAGCAAAGTGGAAGTTTTGGTTAGAAATAAATACTTTTTCTTGCCATACATATAATAATAGACAGATGTCTTTTTTATTTCTCTGTCGATAGCCCGACACGTGTTCCGCAGCCATCTTGTATTTTCTCGCGCGCGTGGGATTGTGGGATCTCTCTTATAATTGGATCTAGTTTCGAGAACTCTCTCCAGTCGATCGCGATTGAACCTCGTTTCAGTCGAGATTGAAATGGTCGAGAGCGTTCGCACCACAGAACAATCTCCGACCTTAGTCACAATCTAGATCGAAATGCTCGGTGCGAACGGGGTATAAGCGTCAAAATCCTCCCAAAGAATACAGGAGACTATTTTAAAGAACTGGAAAATGTTGCAAAGCACATTTAGTACGAAAAACTTATATTTATTTGCATACTTATGTTATTCTGATAATTATATACGAAAACATAATTATTTTATTAATAATAGTAACATACAAAGAACAGATTTTTTTCTGCATCAAAATCCTCCCAATGCATATCATATTTATGGAAAAAGTATCCTTCAATAATCAGTATAGCCTCCGTTGGCCCTTTAAAACCTTTATAATGTGATCAGGCGTGGTATTAATAATAACCGTGCAATGTTATTTTGTTCCACTCATCCTGTACGCGTTCCAATAATTGGTGGATGATTTCTGGTGGAACTGCATAGTCAGACAAGCGACGTTTAAGAAGGACCAGATGTGTTCAATCGTGTCGAGATCAGGCGATTAAGGCGGCCACTCAAGCAGGCTAATATTTTGGTCCCGAAGCCGTGACATTGCCCTTTTGAATGTATGTTTTGGATCATTATCTTGCTATAAATGAAAGAACTCCTATCAATGTGATGATAATCAACAGATTGTAACAAATAATTGTCAAGTATCTCAGTGTAAATAACNTTTATGTCCCTAATTCCCTAATCTCTTAATTATTTAACTACTGTACTTCTTAAGTAGAAATAAGTCGAAACCGGTTACTTTGTATACGAATATTTGTAGTCTCGGGAAAAAAGTGGAAAGACAAATTTTTATGGCAACGGATACATAAATTGTAAATTTAAGGAAAATAAATTCTATAGCCTTTTCTGTACCCCGTGCATCTCTCTCATTCGTTAAATTTAGTTGTAAATCACACTGTCAAAGTAATAGTTAATTTTTTTCACATTATACAAGAATTGTACACGTTTTCTTCTACACCCCCTTAAAGATGGGACATACAAAATCGCAATATCACTGGTTTAACATTGAAATCCGTGAGCGATATAAAATCGGAGAGCGGAATAAAAATATCAAATATTTTAATGGATTTTTTTAACTCCTGTCAACTATACAGAACTATCGTAAAAACGTACCAGTAAATTCTTATCGGTTGGGTTAAGTTATAAATCTACTCGCGATTGGCGTAATCGGGCGAGGGCGGCCAAATATCTAGCGGGCAGGTGTCTAACAACCCAGAACCGGTCCTTGATAGAATTGGATGCAGTATACGTGTAGCATCCACCCGAGGTCCTAGGCTTCCACCGGCTAAACCGGGTGAGGTTGGTGCTCTGTGAAGCGAATGCGCGAATCTGGCTTTTTGGATGCTGACGATAAAGCGCTTCCACTCCATCACTAATATTCGAATATACAATAGCAATTTTATCGTTTTTTTTCACGTGTAGTATAGAAATTTGTAATAAGATACATAATGCGGTTATAATAAAATATTGTGCGATTATTTTCATATAATTAAAATTAATACGTATTTATTTTTTAGAAAATACAAGGGAAGCGGCGCATCCATCACTTCCAATAACGGCACGCCACTGGACTACACGAAAAGATGACGAACTTAAAGTGAATTCGTGTTCAGGTTTCATTTAGATTTTATTCGTACACGAAAACGCGACACGTGGACGATCTGCCTTTCATAGAATTGACCATTTTTCAAATGGCCAGCCCGTTGAAAGGGCACGAACCCACGACCATCAGTGTCCAGCGGTTTTATCCAAGCACTGGTGGGTCCGAAAGATGATTGAATATTCTTTTGAGATATGTTTTAAAAAATAGATATTTATGGAATAAATGTTAAGAGAGTAAGGAAAATTTCAGAAAACCTTCATAAAATAAGCATAATTTAATTTTTTTTTTAATTAAAAGCAACAACGTGTAACTAGTTACGTTTATTTAATATAAAAAATAATTTAAACAATGATCAAATTAATAAATTTTCTTGGATATTTACAATTTTGTATCACACTGAAGATTTTTATCACGAATTCTTTGTATAAGAGGCTCCAATATCCACAGAAATGCGCAAGCAAACAAAAGCGAAGCTAAGAGATAAAATAAATAATCATATCTTCCAATCTTTTCTCTAAAGTGTCCTGTAATAAAAAATTAAATTTATTATTAAAATTTATTTTATATTAAATTATTTTAATCTATTTACATTAGACAATGTCTTAAGGATCTATAGTTTGCTATAAGGAAGACTTTCCTCCTATATACATCCTTCAGAATACCGAAATCCTTTAAAGGTCTCAAGAGTGGAGAAATAGAGAAGGATCGAGTAGGATAGGACTTAGAAGAATTCTACTAGTTATTAGCATTTTTATTTTCTTTATACTTACTCTCTAAATAAAATTATTGTAATTCCAATATATAGGCTACAACACTGTACAGTGTAGATGAAATGTATGTACGCTTGTCTATTCAGCAAAAAAACAAAAAAAATCTAGCATTTTATGGCAAGTCACTGGCATTAAGAAATACAAGTTCATTCCTCTTAAAATTATTCTGTTAACATTATTCTATTGATATTTTCAATCCAGGTGAGTAGATAAAACACTGCATTACTTCGTTGCGAGTTTACGTCCTAACTAATGGGCTGGGTTTGTGGTTTTTTAACGTGTCTAACACCTAAATAGGGTCCAATTTAGAGTCCCGTAGAAGGTTCTTCGGTGGGCATTATTCCTTGGCAGATTGCTCGTGCGTTGTGTTGCCGTACTTTATCAACCCTAGTACGTGGGTTTAAATTATAATTGTTCTTCAAATGCATTAAATTTTAAATTATACTTATAGACTACATGAAAATTGTATAATAAATCTATATATAAAACTGAAATTTCAACATTTTTAACAATAAAAAAAATCAAATTTCAAGTTTCCTTTTAAGTTTGTTTCGTGTTCGTATCTAATTGATAAAGTGTCATCACATAAACTTCAATTTCATTCGATAAACACGTAAAAAGTTTATTTTAAACTAGATTTACAGATAATGATATAAACTTAGAGTTTAATATACTATATAAAAATAGTCCTCACACAAAAATAAGTGTAAAAAAAAGATAAATCCATCCAAATAACATAAATTATAAACAAATTTTCAAAAGTAATTATCAATTTTTATCTATCTGAAAGAGAACCGATTCTCAATAGGATCTGTACCGACATGAATTATAGTGCAAGTAAATACAGTAGACACCCCTATAACACTGTTGATAATTCCGTTTTATATGAAATCCATGTTGTACGAGTCACTTAGATTTTACAAATACGTGTACCAGGCTGTGAACGGCTCACGTATTTGTAAAATCTAAGTGACTCGTACAACATGGAATTCATATAAAACGGAATTATCAACTTTATATGGGAAAGTGGCCCCTATTTATTGTTAGACACGTGAAGAAAACCAGGAAAAATTCACTCTAAACAGAAAAGAGTGGATTTTTCCACTCTCTTCACTATTTTCAGGGGGAAGATCTAATAAGATCTAATTTGAAAAATTACTTTTTTAAATAAACCAGCAACAGGTTGCTCAACTTTTCAGGCAACATTTAAAATTTTAGTGGTGCTATCTGTTATTAGATTATATTTTAAATCTTTTTATATTTTTAACTGTTATAAAATGACGAAAAGCTTAATTTTGAGGGTAGGGATAAGTTTTATTAAAAAAAAATATTGTAAAGGCTAATAACGAGTAAAATTGTCATTAAATCCGACGCTACATGCGATCTCCATTATCTCTCCACCTCCTCTACCTTTAACCACCCAAATTTAATGGCATCAATCACCGTAATAAAAAAACCTCCCTGCAAAATTTCAGAAATTTTCGACAAAAAACAAAGGAGTTATTAAGCTTAAAAGAGGATGAATAAAATCGTGCTCCCCGCACACACTAACATATAGAAATTACGCCCAATTTTTTTGCATTTCTCGACGTTTTAAGATGTCCTGAGTCCATAAATGTAAAAGCGTTATGGAGGATGCTCCCGAAAGAATTTTTATGGGAAACTAACTAATCCCTATTTAGGTAGGGTCTTCACGTGGTCTTCAGGCGCGAATCAGAGTTCAGTGGTTTTATCGTACGATTCATTTCGTAATATATCTTGATTTATCTTGTTTTTAAACATATACTTTTAACAATTTATATTTTCTTTTTTATTTTTAGAAGTTACGGATAAAATACAGTAGTGTCTTGTTTTTTTGCAGGATTGATACATACAGGTTTTTGCTATTGACGAATGGTTACGTTAATCCTTAGATGCCAGAAGTATTTTTAACTATTAATACATATAGTAACAATAGTAAACGCATAAAATAAAGTTTTCCCTCGTTATATCGCTCATTCGAATATATTGCATTAGCTTTTGGTCTTCTAAATTTAAAAACGCTTTAGCCAATAATGGATAGATACATTGGATGATATACTCAATGTATCCATTCGGTTAGTCTCCCTCGATGAGTGATATAACGAGGATCTACTGTATTTTAAGTACATTTTCCCGTTAATTGTAAATGATCATTCGAGTCTTTTTCAAAGTTCTTTTCGCTCTGCGGCTACTAAGAAAGTTTTTATTCAGGCCCACAATGGAGGTGGCCGGGTGGTGGATAGTCTGTTCCGGATATATCGTTCGGAACAGACTTCCCATGAAAAATTAATTGAGTTGCTCGTCTGAATTTGATCCCAAGTCCTCCAGAAAAGTATAGGGCATAAGTCCTCCAGAAAAGTATAGGCATAATCGTCTAGAACTCTTGGCTGGAGCATAGATTTATGTGGTACCGTCTGACATGCAATTCTCGCCTTGAGACAAGACCACAGTGTAATTTCTACTGTAATATAGTGTTTAACCGAGTAGATAAAACACTGAACAGTAGTTTGTCGCGGATTCGCGCCTGGCCAACGGGCTTGCACTATGGAGTTTTTTTCCTTTCTTCACACAGATACAGACCAGTTTCCTATAAAAGTCCTCTCAGGATGCAGTCGTCCATGTGTCGCGTTGAGGTAACCAAATAAACTATCCTTACAGTGTTCATGGTTCGTATGGTATTCAATTCATCTCGTATACCGAATTAAGATTTTTTTTTCAACTGAAATTATAATAAGAAAATTTTGAAACTAAAAGTACAATAGGCTGATAAACTTAAAAGAACTTAAGCGAGCACACGCTAGTGTTATCTGTTGACGAATAAACGTATTAAAAGAATTATTATTTTAGTATTCAATAACGATGAAATTTTAAATGATACAATTTCAAATTTAATCGAATGATATTATTTTTCTAGCGTATTTATATTATTCAATAGATATAAGATATTTAATTACACATAAGATATCGTAGAGGTAGTCAAAAGTAATGCATTTTAACATCTAAAATATTTATTTCTCAATCAGATTTTATATTCGGTGACCTGTTTAATATGCTAAAAGTCCTTGACAATATCCAGAAATATTGGTATCGGGTGGAGAGAGTCACGTTGCAAATCAACTACAAAAGTACACTATATCGAGGTCAAACGAATATTAAGAGAAGACCATAAAGATAAGATTGTTTTCTTATCTCCAAATATATTTCAGGGATCCATTATTGACCAGTTTGAAAATTGCTTACTTCTTTTAATAATTTTATTTCTGTAAAAGTTTTAAAATCATTTTATTCGTAAAAGTTTATTTCCGAAATATTAAAATGAAGTATTTATAACTTATCTGATGGAATACTTTAATCGTCAACATAAAACTTTCCACTATTTACGTTGTGTAAAGTAAATTACGTTGTCTCTTTCAAGAATAATTACATATTCTGACGTCATACAGTGGTAGTTACGTAATAAACAAAGGATTTGACAAATTAGTCATCAATTTTCTACCTAATTATGATTGGTAAATAGTATTATTCGCTAAGAATCCTTTAATTATTAACTTCCTACGAGATAATTCCGGCTTTTTTTGCGTGTCTAACACTTAAATAGGGGACAGTTTCCCTTAGATCACATCCCCTTTTGACAAATCGTCCATGTGTTACCCGTCAAACCAAACCAAACCCTATATTACAAGATAATTTATAAATAACTTGGTAATATTTTTGAAATAGTTTACTTGAAAATGAAATGTTTATCTTCTTATATTTCGAAATGTTATTATTAAATAATAATTTAAATTTATGTACTACAGTACTTGCCTGTTATTGGTGCTTGAACCAGCAATACCACCAATCCAGTAATAAAATTACTCAAACCGACTGCAGCTGGTAATTTATTTATACCTAGATATTCGGATAAAAAAACTGATTCTTGAATAATCGTGCATCCGGAAAGAAATCCAAGAATGGATGATAAAACCATCATCACCGTGTAACTCCATAATTGAGGTAGTACACATAGTAGACATCCCATGGATAAAAAACATAAGACCACAACGTTAACTCTCTTCATAATTCCTAAATCCACAATCCATCCTGATCCGAATCGTCCACACATATCTGATAGAGCATAAGCTGAAACTAGAAACACTGAAGACGTAGTACTAACTTCTCTATCAACTGCAAAGTCGACAATAACTGTCCCGTAGATATTTATAAACAAAAAGAATATGGCAAAGCTAATAGAAATGATCAAAAATATGGGATCTTTTCCAACTTCTGCAGCGGTTCTCAAGGTCTTCCATTTGTTTTCTTTATCGTCGACAGTCTTCTGCGATTCTTCTACGCTCTTAGGTTGACGATACAAACAAGCTGCGGCTATACCCTGCATTAAAACACCACCCAAGAGTAAGAAGCATCCCTTCAGACCGTAATTAGTAATTAGAATTTCTAGTAAAGGTGGAAGTACAAACGATCCAACCGAAGCACCACCTCTAAATATTCCCATTGCTGTGGTTTTATATTTATTAAAATGCATATTGATGATAACCGGATTGAAAGTATAGATGAGACCATTACCTAAACCTAAAAACATTTTTAATTATAAAATTTTAAAATATTGTTGAAGAAATTTTCGAAAAAACTTACCGTTAACAATTCCCAAAAACAAGATAAGAGAGATAAAATGTAATGAAAAATAGCAAAGAATGCATCCAGAAGCTGAAAGAACACTACCGATCATAACCAATTTTCGAATGGTGAGATATTGAATTAAACAGGAAAATATGGGTCCTGAAAGTATTATTTATTAATCTTTTATAATAATTTAATAGTGCGTAATTTGTATATAAAAATTACCTGATAAATGCATCACCGAAGCCATCAGACTTAACGGCCATGCCGATTGAACTCGACTTAATCCCAGAATTTGTGTAAACGAAACATAAAGTACACTCCCCGATCTAAGAAATCCAACAGAAATAAAATTGGTGACAAAACAAGCAATGGCAACAACCCACGCCCACCCTCCATCTCTAGAATCTGTATCGTTTTTCCTTGCCATGACATTCATCAAAGCACAACAACTCCAGACTGTCTGCTACCTTTTACATACGATCTTTGTACTTTTCCTTTCTAAATATTTACAGATGACCCAGGTGATTGCTTCATCTTGGTAATGGTGTCAGCTTTTAATGTTTTTTTTTTTTAATACACATATAATGCAGGAATGTCTTTATTAAAATTCTTCTTCGTATCAATGTCATCATATATGATCGATGGCCTCCAAGAAATGATGTGTTTAGATATTGAAATTGCTAGTGAATTTTTATGATGAATTTACAAATATATGATATGTTTCGCGCTGTTTTTTTTCGTGTTTTACATATTTAAACAATAAGGTAAATTATAATAAAGAAGCCACTCGTTTAAGTGGAACAGTTGCAAGAACATTCCAGTTTGTATGAGAATCGGGACTCTATCGTGTTTATCGTTAACGTTATTTCCAAATAGGTCAAGCATAAAATTAGGACAAATTGAGAGATTCCTTCGTGCTTTTCTAATGAACTTTACATCAATTTTTTTTATAATGGAATGCGAATATTTTTAAATTTTAATTATTTTATCACTTTCATTTATTAATTAAAAATTTTAAGAAAATTGTTTTACCTCTCGCTATAATTAAGAAATAATATTTAAAAAATAAACCAGTTTTTATAGATAAAATATGATGTAAAAAAATTAATTATCAATTTTATTTTCATCGACTAAAAAGGGTTCTATAATCCAGCATAAACCAAGGAATATTTCCATTCCTCCTAATATGTAAAATATTGGATCGTAACTACCTTTGATGTCTCTAAAATATCCTGAAAATATAAACATTAAATCTTGTAATTTCTAGATAATGATGATGATAATCGAATTATAAAATATAACACTTACCTATTAAAAGGGGTGCAGCAAAATTTATTAATCCAAAAAATGTATTGCCTAAACCTAAAGATAATGGTAACCTAGTTAAACCAAGATATTCTGTAAAAAGAACGTAGCTGTTAACGACCAGACAACCAGTGAAGATGCCCAAACAAAGCGCAATGACGAGCATCATTGTAAAACTTGAAAAATGGGGTACACAAAAGAATAGTATTCCCATTCCGAAACAGCACACGACCACTAAATTTTTTCTTTTCATAAAACCTAAATCTGTAATCCATCCACAAGCTAATCTACCGCATAAATCAGAAAATGAGAAAACCGATACAATAAAAACACCCCTGGTTACTGCTATAGAACGATCTGAGGCATAATCGACGACCACAGTTTGATAGGTAATGAAGCAAAACATGTTAAAAGAAAAGGTCGATATAATTACATAAAAAATGGGTATTTTAAACAGTTGATAGAGCATTTTCATTATTTTAAGAAACTTCGATTCCTCTTTGGTGCTTAGCATCTTCTCCGATTCGAGCCCATCTAAGGCAACGTCCTCCATCTCTACTCGATTACGTTTTGCGCTTTGTTTAATGGGTCTGAATAACATGGCCGTCACCAAACTTTGTACCAGAACAGAACTTAATAATAGGAAACTTCCTCTTAAACCGTATTCGATCATTAAATATTCTGTTAGAGGTGGTAAGACGAAAGATCCTATAGAAGAACCCGCGAGTGAAAGGCCAGTTGCCATGGTTCTGTATTTAACAAAGTACTGGTTAATTGCTATGACGTTAGAATTTTTGGCTAATCCGGACCCTATTCCTGAAATAAAACGTATGCAAATTAGTATAAATGAGTGTTTTAAAACACATAATATGTAAATTGATTTTATAGGGTGATTCAATGGGGGGAGAGTCTCCATACAAAACACACAAGGCACTTTATAAGGAGTCACTTCTAAATCACTGAATATAACTTCTGTAACTTAGAAGTAAAAAAAGTTTTGAGTCTTCCATATTGTAAGTTAATTTTATTTAGTTTTTATCTGGTTTTTAACGAAGGAAACCTGAAAATTTTGCAACTTTTCCACAATATGCGGTTTATATTTTAAATTCCCAACTGCATTGTCTTATTAATATCTATTGAGTAACCCGGTAGATTGATATTTTATTGAAAAGTCAAGGATATTAATTGCTTCCTGTCTTGAATACAAAACGAGAAACTGGACCGCATTTTCATATTTTAATGTTTCTCACGTATTGCCTGAAGTAATTTCTATCTATTTTTTTTCCTTCATTAAAAATTGGAGAAAGCTGATTGAAATTATTATAATTATTTTTTGTACAAAAAAAAAACACTAATGAAAAACTTAAATTTGATAAAATAAAAAATGAATAATTAAATTTTACCGAATTGNTTTGTAAAATCTAAATGACTCGTACAACATGGAATTCATATAAAACGGAATTATCAACAGTGTAAATTTTTAAATAAAATATCATAACAGATAGCATCACCAAAATTTTAAATGTTACAAGAAAGTTAAACAACTGGTTGCTGTTTTTTTAATTATTATTTTTTTAAACATGTGAATATTTATGTCGATATTTTGTCTTTTACGAATAGGTCACACGTATTTAAAATGAATTTTAAGGCAATTTGAAACAGTAAGAAAATATTTACGAAACATTTTTGTAAATTTATAATCATAACAATGAATTATAGAGATACAGTAAATAATGAAAACGAATCTGTATCAATCATCTTTACTACAAATTATTCAGAAACTCTTATACCAAGCTACAAAATAATCTTTTCCAGTTACAAACTTAATCTTCAGTTCAAACTTCATCAATAACGCAGCGGCCGGATGGCCGAGAGGTCAAGGTGGCAGCCTACCGCTCTGGAGGACCTGGGCTCGAATCCGAGCGGATTGAAAAATCCACTGGAATTTTTCGGGGGGTGGTCCGTTTGGTTATGTCCGGCCCCGTCCCTCACAACCCAGCAACTCCATTGTGGGCCTGGCCGAACCCATAATGGGCTTGCAAAAAAGAGGTCCTCCTAGTGCCCACAGGGCGGAAAGAATTAGGTAAAAAAAAGCTCAATAACACACACTCCTAACACCATATTTTGTCTTGTCTTTAAGGAATTCCAACGATTTCGCTTTCATTTCCAATTTTGAGGTTTTCAGGTGTTTACTTGCGTGTCTAGCATCGAAATAAGGAGCCAGTTTACCATCAAATGCTCTCCCTGGAAACACTCACTTGACAAATCGCCTCATCCCTCACAGAAGAATGCAAAATTAGTAGTGTCTTATAATGTCCATTAATAGAAATTACTCTTCATCTCTGAAGAAGAGTAATTTCTATGAACTTCGCGTGAATTATCCGGTGTATGGTCATCTTTTCAAATTTGATAAACTCGTAGACTTAACAAAAGAGGGAAGAATGATACACGTGTCGGATAAAAAATTAAGATAGACTACACCAGTGGCGTGCCGTGAGATTTGATAATAGGGAAGCTGTGTTTCTGTAAGAAGCCGACTTCCAGAGGCAATCAGTTAATTCTCTAAATGTATTTTTAATAGATTATTTATCTGACGTAATTAATAAATAAACAAGTTCAATATAATTACCTCTGTTATTAGATCCAATATATTCCATACGATCTCTAAATGCCAATTTTTGCTTTGATAAAAACATATAACATCTATTTATTTAGATATAATATATCTATTAACCGTAACTATCTCGTTATAATTTTCAATATTTATTTTATATTATTTACTAATGTTAAATTCTATTCCGCTTCGATTTCCAAATTGCTTCAAGTCAAGCTCTATGACACGAC